CAGGATGATGCTCTATATCCGAATGTCCAAAAGCAGATACATAGAGAGGCGCTCAGTGACCTTCTGGTGCCAAGTGCAGGAGTGGGAATTGGTCACACTCAGCACAAGAGGACTTCTTGGGATGGTGGACACATTCTTACAACTGAATTGGGCCAGTGCACCAATGGGCTACTGTCTCTCCCTCTGGAGATGGCTTGTATTTTCCCTGGGTTGTGTTTTCCTTGCTTAGTCCAAAGGCAGCTCTCGTGCGCCATGCGTGCTCTCTCTCTCTCTCTCTAATATTTTTAGTTGTTTATGGAACTTTATTTACTTATGGTGCTGAGAATTGAACCCAATACCTCACACATACTAGGCAAGTACTTTACTACTGAGCCACAGCCCCAGTTCCCGGCAGCTCTCTTTTGAGATTGCCATTCCCCACCCTGTTCTCCCTTGAATGTGTATCCACTTTCCTAAATAGACCTCTGTCTATGCCTTTTAAAAAAAAAATGGGGGCTGGGGATATAGCTCAGTTGAGAGTGCTTGCCTAGCATGTACAAAGCCCTGAGTTCAATCCCCAGCACCACCAAAAAGAAAAAGGAATTAGGCAGGGCATGGTGGTGCATGCCTGTAATCTCAGCTACTCAGAAGGCTGAGTCAGGAAGATGGCAAGGTCTACACTAGCCTCAGCAACTGGACAAGACCTGTCTCAACTTACAAAGGGCTGGGGGTGTAGCTCAGTGGTAGAGCACCCCTGGGTTCAATCTCCAGTACCAAAAGAAAAAACTGAATTTGGCTGGGCATGGTGGTGTACATGTGAGTTCCCAGCTACTCAGGAGGATTGCTTGAGCCTAGGAGTTTAAGGCCAACCTGGGCAACTTAATGAGATACTGTCTTAAAATAAAACAAAAGGGTCTAGGGATATAGGTCACTAGTAGAGCATCCAAGTTCAATCCCCAGTACTATACACACACACACAAAAGGAAAAAAAAAACAAAAAGGACTGATGATGTGGCTCAGTTGTAGAGCACCCCTGGGTTAAATCCTAGCATGTATGAGGCCATGGGCTCCATCCTGGCACCAAAAAAAAAAACCCAGTCTCAAAAGGTCACATGCTGTATGATTGATTCCATTTGTGTAATATTCACCAAATGACAAAATTATAGAGATGGTGAACAGACTAGTGGTGGGGATGTCTGGTGGGAAACAGTCCTGTGTCCTGATGAAGGTGGGGTCACGTGACTACATGGCATGTATCTGTACACCTTGGATCAATGCCAGTGTTTATATTAACTCAGATATAAAAGGTGTTATCATTGGGGGAAACTGGGTGAAGAGTATACAGTAACTTTCTGTTCTACTTTTGCAACTTTCTATGAATGTATAAATATTTTAAAAATAAAAACTTTAAAAATATGTCAAAAGTTGTTATTAAAAATGTAGTTCCAGAATTCTTTGCCTTTTTCTCCAAACCAGACTAAATAAATGGCAAGTATGGATGACTTCAGGGTCTTTTTTTTAATATGTCTTTCAGTTTTGGCCACTATTATGATAAGAACATGTGAGACTGCAGCAGTAAATTCCAAATATTTGTTGTAATTTGAAAAGAAAGAGATGCTAAACATCTCTAAATCCTGATTCATCTTGTGACATAGACTTACTGGACAGAAGCAAAGGTCCAGTGTTGCAGTCAACCCTTTGATGTGGTAAAGAAACATAGAGACAAGATATCAAGGGGTTGATTTCATATCTGGAAAAAAAATATGTAGTTCCAGTACAAAGAGAGCAAGCAGATCAATGAAATGGAAAACATGAAAAGCTGTGTGTGTGTGTGTGTGTGTGTGTGTGTGTGTAATGAGAGTACAATAAAACTGGCACCAAAAATAGGTGGGAATTACATTAGCCAAATATATCATTATATTGTGTCCAAGTACGAATACATAAAAATGTAACTATTATGTATGGTTATAACACACCAATAAAAGTATGCAAAAAAAACTAAATAACTTTAATGCTTGGTATCAAGGGAAAAAAGCGGAAAATGGAAGAACTGTATAATGAATGATGCTAGGAAAACTGCCTAACACTGTAAGGAAAACACAAGTTGGATTGTAGCCTTTTGCCATATGCAGATAGTTTCCAGATGGTCAAGAGTGATTAGAATAAAATGATGTAAATATTAATCTGATTTTTCTAAACCTCAAAGAAGGATGTCACAAAGAAATATTCAAGGTGCTAGGTGCAGTGGCTTTGCCTTGTAATCCCAGCGACTGGGAAGACTGAGGCAGAATGATCACAAGTTTGATTCCTGCTTGGGCAACTTAGTGAGACCATCAGCAATTTAGTGAGATTTCATATCAAAACAATAAATAAATAAATAAATGGGTTGGGGATGTAGCTCAGTGGTAAAGAACCCCTGGGTTCAACCCCTGATACCAAAAGAAAAGAAGAAAAAGAAATATTGAAGGTCTGCCAGGGATGGTTGAGCAGGCCTGTAATCCCAGCTCCTTGGGAAGCTCACCAGAAGGATTGTGAGTTCAAGCCAGCCTTGGCGGCTTAACAAGGCCAGGTCTCCAAAACAGGCTAGGATGTGCGTGCCAGAGAATGATACACCTGTACATCTGCAGAATGGCTTTCTTTAGCAGACCAGTGCGAGAGGCCTGCCTGGCATGCATGAGGTCCTGGGTTCGATTTCCAGTGCTACAAAATAAATAATAAAAGCCATGTTGATATCACTAACCACTCATTCTCCCCTGTAACTGGGCTCATGCAGCATTAAGGGAATTGAGGGAGCAAAGCAAGCCCCAAAAGGGCATGATCAGCATTTGACTCTGTTGCCTGTGCACCTCACTGGGCTTCCACAGGCCCCAGCCTGGGAGCCTGGAGCCAGTGGTGGAGGGAGGAGGCTGGGAGCTCCTTGGCTTTCATACCTTGTAACAAGACAAACTCGGTCACCTTTAGGAGTATGCAAACGGCAGTGCCTGAAACAGCCTTTTCTAGCAATTCTGATGGGTAGAGATCTGTACAGAAGTTTTTCCAGAGTTATAACCCTCTGGATGCTGGGCATCTGGGGCAGAACTGCCTTTATATCCTCTCCTTCCTGTGCTGTTGCCCTGAAGCCACCCTATAGCTGTTTCCCTAGGGCACAGGAAATCTAGAAAGTCTCCTGTTTCTCCCTTGAAGGAAAGGACCCTTGTGGCTGCATTGTGAATCCATGTGAGCTTTGGAACTTCCGTGCACAGTCTCTCCTGCTAACCCCAAGCCCGATTCCTTTATTCTGGCCCCAGACAGGCCTTGTCTGCATTGTGGAAGTTCCCCACACAGCCACTAAATGCCTGGATGTTTTCTTCCCTCTAGAGAAACCTGATGTAAAGCAAAAGTCGAACAAGAAGAAATTTGTCATTCCGCAGATCATCATCACTCGGGCCTCAAATGAGACTCTAATCAGCTACTGTTCCACTGGAAATGAAGAGCAGAGAACCATTCGGGAACAGGCTGATTGGGGTCCCTACCACCGACACAGGAACCCCAGTACAGTAGCTGCTTATGATCCGCATACTAAAGAATAAACAAGCGCCCCTGAATTGTCATGACTCAGTGTGCTGAGTTTCAGCCACACAGGCAAAGGGCCATCCTGCCCCTTTGGAGCCAAGGTGCCCTCAGTCCACTAGGTTCTGCCTCAGTGACCACCTTGGTCTTACCTTCCCTAGGGCCGCTGGCAGCTTATGGAGTGACAGTGACAGGTTCAGAGAGTGAAATTTGTGGTGTTAAATGAATAAACTAGCATTTCCGTGTTGGAAGTGGCTGGCTGTGATGAATGATGGACAGCAGGCGGCACCTCGGGCTCTGACTTAGGTGGGCAGTTAGGATCCTTTCCATTCACTTCTGAGGAGTAAGTACTTAGAAGTTACAGTGAGTGGCCTGTCCCCCAAATTGGAGAAAAGGCCAGAGGCTGAGTATAAACTTTTAAGTGGTAATGTTGTAGAACAGAGAGATTCAGAGCCGCCTTGGGCTGCCAGCCTCTGAGCTGTCCAAGGCCAGAATAGTGCAGGAAGTGCCCTGGGGTGGGTGGGCAGGGCACATGGACCTTGGAAGTGACCTTGTTAATGCTGTCCTGTCTTCCTGGCCCTCTGGTAATTAAGGGCCACTTTGGGATGCAGTTATGATGTCACTGAGAACTCAACTGAGTCCACCCTCAGCACAGTCTTCAGGTCAGGTTGTGGCCTGAGTGCCCTGGCCTGTCTGATCTTATGTATGTAGTAACAATGTGTTAGTTTTGTTAGTTTCTAGATTGGCTGGCCTCAGAGGGCAAACCAGAAATAGGGGACAGTGGCATGGCCACAGTCTTCTCAGGTATTGAGGTGCCTGTCACACATATCGACATATCGTTCTTTTTTTTTTCTATTTTGAATTAGGGTCTCACTAATTTACTGAGGCTGGTCTCAAACTTTAAATTCTCTTGCCTCAGCCTCCTGAGTTGCTGGAATTCTGTAATTCCAGCATGAGCCACCAAGCCTGGCTCCAACAGCTTCAAATGTATACATACATATGTAGATGTAAGTCCATCTAGTATAAACACCAGTCCTATCTAGCACATACATACATACTACATACAAACCCAGAACCCTCTAGGACTGGGCAGACGCCCTGGGCTTGCCCGCATTCACTGCGGAGCTCTGCTCTTGCGAAGTGGAGGGTGCACCCGCAGGGGAGTGCTCAGCTGGATGCCATCTCAGGGGGCCCTCCCCACCTGCCGCCTTCTGCCGGTGGACCAGCTACCAGGGTCTGCATCCAACCCCACGTGCTGAGCTCAGAGGCTGGAACCTCGCCAGGTGGGGCGTGTCTAGGTCCCGGCAAGGTTCCCGGGGTAACCGTGGCGGGGGGGGCGGAGCAGCACGACCCGGAAGTAGATCGCGCGCCTGCGCGCTCGGGCAGTGGCGCCGGCTCTCGCCATGGCGGAGCCGGACCCCGAGTCGGAGCAGATCCGTCTGAAGTGTATCCGTAGGGAAGGCTTCTTCACGGTGCCTGCGGAGCACAGGGTGCGACGGGGGGCCCCTCGGGGACGCGGCCTTCCCCGCCAGCAGGGTCGCGCTGGAGCGCCGACGGCGCCGTGCGGCACGCGCGGGAACGACGGCCCCGGGGTTCCCTGCGCGGCGCGGCGGGACGGGGCCCCGCTGGCGGCCTCCCGGGGACGGGGACGGGTCCTCCTGGCGGCCTCGCGGGGTCTGGATGGGGACTGGACCCCGCTGGCGGCCTCGCGGGGGTGGGACGGGGACGGGCCCGGCTGACGGCCTCCCGGGGACGGGGCGGGGCGAGGCCCGGCCTCCCGCGAGGGCAGACTCCCAGCTCCTACCCCTGCTTTCCCGATTCCGCCCGCGACGGGCTCCGCCGCCGCAGCTGGTGCTGGGCGAGAACTTGGCGGCCTGCTTCCCCTCTCCATCTGCGCCTGGGCTCTTCGGGGCCGGCAGCCCTCTCTGGGGACCTGTGCCGCCACTTCCGTTACTGTCTCTTTTGTGGGATGAAGGCGCTGAACCATTTTTACCAAGGTGCACACATGGTGTAAGGAAAGCGGGGCTGTGTTTCCGAGAATCAAGAGCTGGGCACGGTGGTGCACGCCTGGAATCCCAGCCGCTGGGGAAGCTGAGGCAGGAGGATGGGGAGCTCAGAGCCAGCCTCAGCAGTTTAGCGAGGCCCTGTCTCTAAAATATTGAAAAAGGCTGGGATGTGGCTCAGTGGATGGTTAAGCGCCCCTGGGTTCACTCCCTGGCACCAAAATAAATAAACAAACAAATAATGGTGGTGGCCCAATGGGAGGATAGGCAAAGTGCATAATTAGCAGTGCCTGGAGACCTGGAAGTCTCTAGGGTCTTAAGAGTCGCGTTCAGCTGGGGCCAGGACGAGATTGGCAGAAGAACTGGCATTTCTTTTGGACCAGGAAGTGTGATCAGATTGGACACAGATGAGAAGGGTGGCATGCCACACTCAGGAGGCAGGGGCAGAGCAGGAGGGTCACAGTGTGGGCAGGAGGTGCCAGCAGAGCAGCAGTGTGAGGAGGGATGAGACCCTGGAGGGAGCCAGGCCAGTTGCCTCTAGGTCTCAGAGAGTAACAAGACAAGAGAAGGGAAACCAGGAGAGGCTGTTGGAATCAGAACCCTGCTGCAGACACTGCTTAGACCCAAGGAGAAGTGCTCATTCCGTTCTCCAGAGGCACCACATCATGCAGGGTTGTCAGGGTGCAGGCTCTCTGGGTGGACAGAGCTTTATCTCCTCTCTTCACTAACATCCTAGAAAGGCAGCTGTTTTCCACACGGTGGGCCATGGTGGGTTTTTTTGTGGTACTGGGGCTTGAAGCCACGGCCTTGAGCATGCTGGCAAGCAGTCCACCGCTGAGCTGCATCCTAGCCCTCTTCTGCCTTGTTGCTCCCCCTGTTCTCAGCCATTCCCAGCCTCCCTGGAGGGGAGAGGGTGGTAGCCAGCTTCCTTTGACCTGGAAGACACACGTGGCCAGGTGCCACTGAACAGTGCTTCTTTTCTTCTGTTTTTTTTTTCTTTTTTTGATACAAGAGATTGAATCAAAGTGTTCTTTTTCTACCACTGAGCTACATCCCCAGCCCATTTTAGTTTTTATTTTGAGACGGGATCTCGCTAAGTTGGTGAGGCTGGCCTGGAACTTGGGATCCTCCTGCCTCAGCCTCCTGAGTGGCTGAATTACTGGCCTGCGCCACCCTGCCCAGCCTGAGCCATGTTTCTTCACACAGAGGAGGTAGTGACTGCATGGTGTCGATAGTATTCTCTGCCATAATGGTGTTGCTGTGCACAGTGGTGACTGTTGTAGACAGCAGGCATGCAGACTGGGATGGAGAAGGAGTGGCTAGGCCACCTCTGTATTTCGTTCAAAGTGGGCCCAGTATCATCCTCCCCCTTTTCTCATCAGAGAAGCCCAAGTGTGTGGCTGCTTTTCTCTTTGGTGAGCAGGACATGGGTGGACTTCCCAGTGCCAGGTGGGTGAGAAATGCCTGTTCTCAGCTGTTTACCAGCTTCCAGGCGCCACACTGGCAGCACCTCTCTCTTTCAGCTGGGGCGATGCCGGAGCGTGAAGGAGTTTGAGAAGCTGAACCGCATTGGCGAGGGCACCTATGGCATTGTATGTGAGTGACCACCGTGGGGTGCCTGGAGGCGCAGCTTGTGGCTGATGAGTACAGGCTGGGTTGCCACAAGGCAGCTGTGTTGGGGCTGGCAAAAGCTTCTCAAGGCTGGGATGTGGCTCAGTGGTTAAGTGCCCCTGGGTTCAATCCCAAAGCTTGTTCAGGAACTTTTAACGCCCAGTGCAGTTTCCATGAACTTTACACCATATCTGGGGGCAAACCTCAGTTTCAGGGTGCTAATATCAGTAACCCAAATGTATAACCATGGAATGCAGCGGCTGTTAGAATATTGAAAGGTAGAATTTTCAGCAGCAGCTGGTGTTCATACCAGCTCTGTTGGTGTGAGACTTTCTGTCTAGTGTTTGGAAGAGGGACCGTCCAGATAGAGCACTTTATTTGTTGTTGGAACATAGCTGCAGGCAGATGTGAAGCAGTGGGTCATATGTTGCCTGAGTTGCCGGAGGCCAGGTTTCAGAGAGGAACTGGGTATTCATTCCCACCCAGCTCAAGTGAGGGAGCACCGGGGAGCTTGTCTCAGGAGTATTGCTTGCACAGAGTGAGGACCGAGCATCACTAGGCACTAGGTTGCTAGAGGGAAGGCAGTTCTGAGGAGCTGAGGGGGGCTTCTGAGAAGAGGAAGGGAACCCTGAGGAGCTGAGGGGGCTTCTGAGGAGGGGCAGGGAACCCCAAGGAGCCTCACAGGGGCTCCTGCCTAGCACAGAGGGGCTTGTGATGGGTTTCCATTCCAGATCGGGCCCGCGACACACAGACAGACGAGATCGTTGCCCTGAAGAAGGTGCGAATGGACAAGGAGAAGGATGGTGAGTGGGGAGGGGTAGACTACTACAGCTAGGACCTCAAAGCAGGAAGGGGTATGATTAGGGGGCTGGCTCAGCCTGTCACCTCCAGGCCAGGTTTGTGAAGTCTGTCCCCACTGCCTGGAGGTGTGTGGATTCTCTCCTGCCCCTCCTCTCCCTCCAGTCTGGCGATCCACCTCACCTACCTTCCACTCCAATCTGGCACCCCGCTGAGCCGCAGTGGGGGGGGGCTCGGACCCACCAGGATGCCCTCAGTACAGCAGTGAGCACAGAGTTGCTGATTTTATTGATGAGTGACAGTGACGAGTGGTGTTGGGATGGCCAGTCTCCCCGAGCCAGGACAGTAGCGGCATCTTTCACTGGGTGTCCCTGGAGCCTGAAGGCAGGGCAGGGGCTCACTGAGCCTTCTCTGTTGCAGGCATCCCCATCAGCAGCCTGCGGGAGATCACTCTGCTCCTGCGCCTTCGCCACCCAAACATTGTGGAGCTCAAGGAGGTGGTTGTCGGGAACCACCTGGAGAGGTACCCTGCTGGGCCCACCACCCATGTGGGCCCTGTTCCTCTGTGCCACCCTTCCTGCAGTGAGGGAGGGCCTCTGCCCAGAAGGGAGAAGACAGGATGGGGCATGTGTTTTCCTGTGTTTTCTCCCAGCATCTTCCTGGTGATGGGTTATTGTGAACAGGACCTGGCCAGCCTCCTAGAGAATATGCCGACGCCCTTCTCTGAAGCTCAGGTATGTGAGGGGCACGTTGCGAGCCCTGGTCAGTGACCACTGTACCAAACAAGGCTGGTGGTGGTGTGGGGTTGTCTCAGCCCTCTTGAAAGAGGTGGAGTTACTGCCTGTGGGGCATGTTGGGGAGTGCGAGGAGCCCAGCCTGGGACACGTGAGGCCCCTGGGGAGGAGAGGTGGCAACTGTACTTTTCTGGTTGTATTGGACACAGCAACCACTAAGTTCCTGAGGCTGTGTGTTGACAGCCTGGCCACCAGTAAGGACATGGCACATAGAGGGTCCACCGTGGGCTCGCCCTAACCCTTGCCTGGGTCTCTACACAGGTCAAGTGCATTGTGCTGCAGGTGCTCCGGGGCCTCCAGTACCTTCACAGGAACTTCATCATTCACAGGTGAACTGAGGAAGCCAGAGGAGGTCGGAGCAGTTGCCTGCACTGGGCAGGGTGACCGGCCTCCCCTACTGCAATCATTCGCAGAGACCTCCAGGGGCAGTGTACAGTAGAAGTTCTCCAGCTGCCTTGGGGAAACGTCTTCTGCCAGGAACTGCTGGGAGTGGGGGGCCTTTGGGGATGGGAGCCGGAGGCCGGCTTTGCCTCTCTCACAGCAGCGGGAGCTACTGCATACCTGGCGGCCAGTGTCCTTGCCATTGCTACCCTTTGCTTTCAGAAGGGGGTTGGGGGCAGTGTAAGACCGATGTGGTCTCAAGGCTGTGGTGAGTCTGCCCCATGGAGCTTGCTTCCTGGGAACACTGGCGTTCTGTCACAGGGACCTGAAGGTGTCCAACCTGCTCATGACTGACAAGGGCTGTGTGAAGACAGGTGGGTACAGGGTGGTGGCCCTGCATGTGTGGAGGTGGCTTTCTGTGGACACACCTTTGGTGGTGGGGGTGTTGGTCCTTGTTTAGTGCCCTGAAGGACCTCTCCTTCCCTCTTTGCCTTTACCACAGCGGATTTTGGCCTGGCCCGGGCCTACGGTGTGCCAGTCAAGCCAATGACCCCCAAGGTGGTCACCCTCTGGTGAGTCCCTCCCGGGGATGAGTGTACCTGTTTCAGGGCCCTTGGAGGGTGGGGCCAACAGTGCAGAAGAGTGGAGAGTCTGGGAGACTCATAAAGGCTGGACAGAGAAAGGCACTCCAGGTCACCTGTGGCCTAGGACAGCTTCCCAGAACAGCCAGGGTTGACCTGGCAAAGGGTGACAGCTAGGCTTAGTGGCCTTAAGGAGCCCACCTTGTCCACCTTCCTGAGGTGGTGCCTTCAGAGCTGGCTTGGAAGCACCTTGGGAGTTGGGTGGCCTCCGTAGCTCCGTGATCATCCTGTTAACAGGCAGAACGACCTGTGGCAAGGGAGGACATGAGGGTCCCTATGTGGCACCTCTGGAGTGTGCATTAACCACACTCCAGCAGGCTGATGTCCACAGGCCTGTGCCGAGGCCTTGGTGGTTCTCGTAACGCCCAGGACAGGCTCATGTGGCAGCTCTCCATTAACAGCTGTGACCACTGTGTCACCCTGGTTTTCAGGCCTCGAGCAGAGGGTATTGGACCTGGCAGTAGTGGTCCTGTTGTTCAGGGTACTGTGGAGCCTCTGGGAGGCTTGGCCCTGGCTGAAGGAGAGGGGCTGGCCACAGCGACCTGGAGTGCCTTTCTCTGCAGGTACCGTGCGCCTGAGCTGCTGCTGGGAACCACCACCCAGACCACCAGCATCGATATGTGGTGAGAGCCGCTGCTCCCAGAGCTAGGGCAGGGCAGGGCAGATGAGAGTGCAGCTGCAGAGTGGCCGTGGGAGCAGGTCTGCCCTGGCTGTGCCCTCTTGCCTATCCCATCACCAGTCTGGTGGCATGGCACTCAGGTCTGTGGTCTCTCCCCTTGTAGGGCGGTGGGTTGCGTTCTAGCCGAGCTGTTGGCCCACAAGCCCCTTCTCCCAGGCACCTCTGAGATTCACCAGATTGACCTAATCGTGCAGCTGCTGGGGACACCCAGCGAAAACATCTGGCCGGTGGGTAACCTGGCAGTCCCCAGTGCCCCCTGTGCCCAGCCCGTCCATGGCTCCAGCCCTGCTTCCTGCAGGGTTTCTCGAAGCTGCCCCTGGCTGGCCAGTACAGCCTGAGGAAACAGCCGTACAACAACCTCAAGCACAAGTTCCCCTGGCTCTCGGAGGCTGGACTACGCCTGCTGAATTTCCTCTTCATGTATGACCCCAGGAAAAGGTCAGATCCCGCCTGCGGGCAGTACTGCGAGTCAGCATTTGGAATGGGAAGACCCTGCTCTCTGCAGAGGTGGAGGGACCCCTCAAACCCACATCCCTTATTTATTCTTGTGGTGCTGGGTCTGAACCTGGAGCCGCATCCCCTGGGCCAGTGCTCTACCCCTTCCCCCAGCTCAAGCACAACCTTGAAAGACAGTTTCTCACAACATGGGCCGCATTGCTGCCCATGTCCAGGGTGGGTTCTCTCTGCTTCCTCCTGTTGTAGAACTCACTCTGAGGTTCCCTGTGCTCTCTGGACCCCAAACCTCCCTTTACCATCTACCCTGCTACTGGAAGTTTAAAACAGAAGCGGTTGGGGTGTGAGGGGACAGACCTTTTTGAGGCCAGCATCCCATTAATGGGCTGCTTTTCTGCAGGGCAACCGCGGGAGACTGCCTGGAGAGCTCCTACTTCAAGGAGAAGCCCCTGCGTAAGTTCCCCACACCCTCTGGGTTCTGTTCTCTGGGGGCTTGCTTGGCCAGTGGCCCTTCTCTTGGTGGGTGGACTTCCAGGGCACGCAGGATGTGGACATCCTGGATAGGTGAGGACCTGGAGCATGCCCCGTGGCCTGGTCTGCTGGGGAGCCACCCATCCCTCTAGCCTAACACTGAACTGCTCCTCCCCTGCAGCCTGTGAGCCGGAGCTCATGCCCACCTTCCCCCACCACCGAAATAAGCGAGCTGCCCCGGCCACTGCAGAGAGCCAGAGCAAGCGGTGTAAGCCCTGAGGTGGGCCTGCGTCAGATGGCCAGGCCTGCAGTGGACTGGGGATGCCCCTGCAAGTCAGGTTGGGCCTCCTGGGAAGTCGGCATGCAGCTTGTCCCCAGGCTGCCCTCGACCATCCTGTTCCTGGAGCTGACTCCACCCTGCCTGTGCCCAGAACCAGGCCGGTATGCACTTGGGGTGCAGTAGGGGCGGGAGCTGCAGCCTGTGTGCCCAGGTGAGCCGAGTTGTTGTGGCAACACCTGGTGGCTGGGCAGGGTCTTGTCTGGCAGAAACTCCTGAGAGGACACACTGGTGCTGAAATCTCAGGCGGTACAACTTAGTGGGGTCTTGGAGCCAGGGGTGGGCACTGGCCTCTGAGGACTGCTGTGCTGTTGCCTCTTGGTCACAGGGGCTGCACAGGGCTCAGAGAAGCTGTGGTGACCCTGGGCAGGGCTGGGAAGGGGGGCACCCTTGAAACTCCTAAGAGAAGCAGCTGGCTCCCATCCTGAGCAAGAGAAACACTTTCCTAATAGACCTGGTTTCACCATTGTTTAATACACTGTGGGGTTCCTTCTTGTGTGACATGGACAGTGTCCTCTGAGCGCACTGGGGAGGAGGAGCAGGATGGGGCACAGATCGCCGTACCTGCCCCCTGAAGCTGGGCCAGGGCAGACTCTGCACTTACCCATCCCTGGGTGGGCTGGCGGCCTGGGGACCCTGGTCTCAGGGGCCCTAGGTGGCCTCCAGGGAAAGCAGGCTGTGGTTTTTCCCTCTGGGGTCTGCAGCAGCTGCCCAGACCCACAGTGGACACAGCAGTCCAGTGGGTGGCCTGCAGGACTTGCCCCCTCTTCTGCTGGGAGGCAGCAGGGGTGCTGGTGGCTGAGCCTTCTCTCCACTGGGTAGGAAGTGGCACAGCTGCCTGGGTTCCACCAGCCAGCACCCCCTGGCTGTGACACTGTGGGGAGGCCAAGGCCCTCAAACCAGATCAGCCGGCACCTGGCAGCTTCCCAGGTTGGCCCTGCAGACCCTGAGCAAGCCACATGGAGGGTGGGCAACCTGCCGTCCTGAACCACAGGCTGCAGGGAATGGACGAGGAGCTACGGGCCAGCCAGCAGGTGAGGGGATTTTAAAGGGGTGGGTCCTTCGCTCAGTATACTGGGCATGGAGGACAGGGACACATTGGCAGGTGTCAGTCCAGCTCAGGGCTTACTGCCAGCTGGGCCTGAGCCTGGCCCCTGGGGGAGGAGGACCTGGTACTGGCCCCAGGCAGGAGCTTCCCATGGAGGCTCTGCCCCCACCTCCCTGGACTCCCCCAGGGATAGGGAGACCAGGGCATTCAATGGCCTTGGCCCCTCCCCAAGAGCAGCACCATGGAAATTCCTGAAGACCCTTGACCTGAGCCAGTTGGGCCTAGGGGCGGGCCCCTGGGCTGTCGTACAGCAGGGTGTCCACCTGTGCACGCTGCAGCCACAGGCGCCTCTGGGCCTCACTGAGCAGTGCCCGCAGTGAGTGGCTGGGGCGGCAGGCTGATAGGGCTGTGCAGTGGGCAGCATGTAGCTGGTGGCAAGTGTCACAGCAAAGGGTGGGCAGGGCACCGGGGGCTAGACAGCTGTGTGCCTGGTAGCTTAGGGGCTCAGGGACAGGCCCATAGGCTGAGGCCCCCTCTGCCCGCACATGTCGAGGACTGGCCCTCCCTGGGCTCCCAGGGCCCTCAGGAGCAGCCAAGTCCCCAGGTCGGCTCAGCTCATGGCGCAGTGAAAGGAAAGAGAAGGCAGAGGGCTCAGGCTCCAGCTCCTCCTCCAAGGTCCCATAGGGTGGGCTGCTGGCTCGAGGCAGCTCCTCTGCTGGGGGCTCCCAGGCCCCACCCCCAGTGCCCCACAGTTTGGCACTCTGCTCCCAGAGTGGTGGCCTGTAGGCCAGCTCCACAGGGGGTGAGTCTGCACCTGGTGAGGGCTCCCCGTAGAGGCTGGCCTCCTCCGAGCCCTCGTCTTCCTGAAGGTCCCGGTACAGGTCCCGCGGGGCCCTGTAAGCAGCAGGAGTGCCCCGGGGAGGCAGAGGCGGTGGCTCCTCGTCCTGGGCCAGCCGCTGCTGCAACCAGGCCACACAGGAGGCCACATCCCCACTGGCCCGCCGGGCCCTCAGTAGCTCTTCTGCTGGCAGCACACTGGTGCCCAGCTGGGTCAGCACCTCACCTAGGATCTCACACTCCAGCCGGAGGGCGAAGCAGCCCAGGGCTACCTGCACCAGCTGGCAGGCAGGGGGCAGAGCGGTCACCATCAGGCGGTGGCTGTCCCTGCGCACGTAGCCCATCTTCTGGAAGCTCTGGATGAGGAGCTCCTCGGAGAGCACGCCCTTCAGCACATGCACGTAGCCCCCCGAGAAGGTCTGCAAGGGAGGGGCCTGGTCAGGCCCTCTGCCAGCCAGGCCCCAGCACTGCTCTGACCTGTCTGGGGCAGGTCCACACCGAGTGCCCTGCCTAGAGCAGTTCTCCTCTTGGACTCTCCCACCTCCTCCTACCCCGGGGTTTGCTACTCTAGTCTATCCCCTTAAAACAGCCTCTTCAGCACTCTCCTGCTTTTCTGCTTCTTCACGACAGTACTGGAGACCTTTCCTCACCAGGGTAAGAGGCTTTGCTGTGCATCTTTTCCCTACTGTGTAGTATTCCCCTGCATGGATGCAATACTGGGGATTGAACCAGGGCTTCGCCTGTGTGAGGCAGGTGCCCTGTTTGCCTGAGTTACACCCTAGTCCTCTCACGCAGGTAGGTGAGTACCCTGAAATGGCTTTCTAGAAGAACCAAAAGGATCATGAGACCCATGAACTTACTCTCCTAAGTAAGTTCTGAAACTCCAGGGCTCTGTGGAGCACCCTCTGCTTACAGTAGCTGGAGGCACACACCTCCCAGGTACTGAGCACCAGCTGTAGAACTTCCTTTTCTGTGGACCTGTGTCCCTTTCTCAGAAAACAAAATGGGCTCAGAGAGATTAGGTAACTTGCCCAAAGTCACACAGCCAAGAGGCAGAACCAAATCACCAGCCAGCTCTGCTCCTTCCCAGCCTCCCCCTGCGCTTTGAGACCCTCAAGGACAGGCCTGGCCATTCTGCCTTTGCCCCTCCCCACCATGGGGCTAGTGGGCCCTCCTTATCCCCTAGTCTGAAAGGCTGAATAAAAGTTCAACAACCTTGGACCAGCGGTGCCCCAGTGGAGCTGCCAGCTCCCGAGTTCCTTCCAAGAGGCTGTTTGCAGCTAGGCAACCGCTGGAGGCATACCTCGCCCACGTGGGCGCTGACGTCATCACCCTCCTACTCCTCCCAGTTAGCTAGGAGCATCCGGCAGCCCTGCCCCCTCCAGCTCTGGGCAGCTCCCCAGAGAGCCCGACCCGGCCCTAGCCGGGAACCAGGTCCGTGCCATCCCCCATCCGTGCTGTCCACCCCACCCCCCCGTCCCCCCTCCGGCTTCACATCCTCCTTCACAGACCAGATCAGGCGGAGGAGTTGGGGGGGGGAGGGCATGGGCCTCCAAGTCCCCCTGTGCGCCTGTCCTAGGATTTCCACGGCAACCAGGGCCGCGGGGCCCGGCAGATAGGCACCCAAGGCTGCCCTGCGCCCACCCGGGACCTCAACACGCCCACGGGCTCCTAGCGCTTCGGGCCCTGAGGACACCTGAAACCCCAAAAGGAGGGTCACTCCCCCACGGTAACCGGCGGCGTCCGGCGCCCTACCTTGATGGTGGTGAACTCCTTCCTCCAGGGCAGCAGGTACAGGTGTACGGCCGCCAACTCCAGCAGCTCGAAGGCCCGTGCCAGCCCGCGGAGCGCGGGCGCCAGGTCGGCGCGGCCCCACAGGCCGTCGGTGAGCAGCGCCAGCGCGTCGTCCTGCAGCGCCCCGTGCAGGTCGAAGTCCTCCACCAGGATCTGCCAGAGCACTGCGCGCAACGAGGGGTCTCCGCACACGCCCGCGCGGCCCCGCCGCAGCTCGCGCTCCAAGCACAGGCGGTAGTCCTCGGACAGCGAGCTGCTGCCCATCCTGGCGAGCGGGTCGGGGCGTCAGGAACCGGAGAGTACTCCCTCCCGACTGTGTGACCCCAAAGCCCCCCCATCCAGCATCCTCTCCCAACTCGGAGACCCTGGCCTCGCCAGCAGGGCGGGCCCCTTGTCTGCAGCTTCTCCCGAGCCTGGAGGCCCGATCCCGCCAGCTGAGCGCCCCTGCTGTCCACAGCAAGCTCTCACACCTGCGGACCTCGTCCCCACCAGCTGAGCGCTCCCCCGCACAGCACCTGCCGACGGCCTCCCGCTCCGCAGCCCCGTCCTGCCCGCGGTGCGCGTCCGGCATGGACGTCACCTCCTTCCCTGGAGTCCCTCGCCCACCAGATGCTCTGGACCAGGGTGCGACGGCGATACCGATACCTGTCGGTCCCCAGCCGTCCGCGAGCAGCCGCCTCTCCGAGTGTGTCTTCCCACGGCCGCGAGCTTCCGCGGGAGTCGACTCCGCCCAAACCCTAGCCGTGACGGTGGGTGGGGCTTAGAGGGCGCCACCCCTGGTGGGCGGAGCTGGCGGGCGCCCCGCCCCCGCCGCGCTCCTGCGTTTCCGCGGCGCGAGGGCTGGCGGCCGGCGCTCGGTCCGTGTCCGGTGGCCTTGTGTTCTGGTAGCCCTTCCGAGGGGTGGCCGCGCGCCGCTCGCTCACCCCTGCCACCGGGACTTCCCGCGCCGATCCTCGGAAGTGCCCAGATCTCGCGGAAGCGGGCGGCCCTCTCCTGGCGGGGGCGGGGCCTCGCATTGCGGGGGCCGGGTGGGCGGCGTTGGCCGAGTCCCCGGAGGGGCGCGCTCCGGGTGGGATGGGGACGGTGGTTCCTGCAGCAATCTCTGGGTTGGGTGGCTTTCCCTGCTCTGCTCGTGGCTCCGTACCTCTCAACCCCTGGTCTGGGGGTCTTTGAGGCGAGATGAGGCGTTCCCCTCCCTCTGTCGGCCAGCGTGGCCTGAGGCTGCCAAGCGGCCGCGCTGCAGATCTGCCAGCCTTAGTCTGGGCCACCCCTCTCGGGACGTTTGACTTCCCTTCCTTTGGTTTCCTCTGGTGGAGGGGGGTGAACGCCGGAGGGTCCCCGCCGGATGGAAGCAGGGTGTTCTATTAGGTCCTCTTCCTGGGCACCTCCTGCTCCTTTCCTCCCCAGGTCACCAAACCAAGGCTCAAATGTGTCCAGAAGGGACCTTCCCCGGGGAAAGTTACCTGCCTTCGCTTAGGATTTTCACTGGGATATTTTTAGATGTTTCTAAGGAAATTCGTTAAACGTTGTAACCAAGTAGGCAGATCTCTCTGAGGCGTTTTGCTGGCTGCTACTAAACTGGGAATTTTTCATTTAGTGTTTAGGCATCCAAGGGGTCACACTGACCCTTAGGGGAGCTGACTTCATTTGCCTGCAGCTCTTCAGCCTTTCATTTTCTTCCTGTCAGCAAGGATCGGGTGAACCCTTCTCTGTTCCTGATTTGATTCCTCTGTCTCCTAGCTCCCTTCTTCTTGAATCTGCCGGGCCCCCAGTGACCACTCCCCCGGGGTTTCAGGCCGCCTTTGACTCAGCAGTACTGGGACTTCAGAGGCCAGATCATTAGGATGCCATGCCCAGCAAGGCACAGTGGCTAACACACCTTAATCCCAACAACTCCAGGGGCTGGGGCAGGAGGATTGCAATTTCGAGGCCACCTGGGCAATTTAGGGAGACTATGTCTCATAAAAAGGGCTGGGGCTGTGGTTCAGTGGTGTGGTTCCCCTAGGTTCAATCCCCAGTATCACAAAAGAAAAACAAAAACAAAAACGTAGGAGCGTGGCCATGCTCCTGCCTTATTTTGAGATGCTGACTTTCAGACCCCAGCTGGTGCTATGAGGAGACTGGCAGGAGTGGATGGATCCCTGTACACCTGCAGTCTGGGACTACAACTCCTGGGAGACAGGCAGGGCTTTCTAAGATCATCAAGATGAGGTTATTCCAGACTGGGATGGCCCCTAATCCCAGATGATTGATGTCTTTGTAAGAAGAGCGTTTTAAACACAGAGGTAGAAGACCACGTGGAAATGGAGATGAGAGTGAGATAGCTCCAACTGAAGGACCTCAGGGATCCTGAAGATTTAATAGCTTGGAAAAGGCAGGAAGGAGTCTCCCCTAGTCTTCAGAGAGTGTGTGGCCCTGCTGACACTGAGACCTCAGATTTCTGGCCTGCAGAACCAGGAGAGTGAATTTTTGTGGTATTTTGTTACAGCAGCCACAAGATACATGTACAGGCCTCGCATGTTCTGACAGCCCTGAGGTCCCAGCTGACCACCAGCATCGACTTCAGATGGATCCTACCCCTCAGCATTAGGTTACCCCAGTGTGGAAGCAGCCCTACCTGGATTGCACACCCACTAACCATTCCTGGATGCAAGGTCATGCACAAAACCAGTTGATGCATCCTTACCTTGCTTCCTGCTTGCCCAAGGATGGATGCTATGTCCCTTTAATTTGTGCACGTCTCTCCCATGAGCACTGCTACATCAGTGGGTCCATCAATACTTACCTTGACCCTGAGGAGTGCAGCTGGTCACTGCACCATCCACCCCACAGCTACCCTCCCCAGTTGCAATGGTATAAAGTTTTTTTTGTTTGTTTGTTTTTTTTTGCGGGGGGAGGCTACTGGGGATTGAACTCCGGGGCACTCAACCACTGAGCCACATCGCAGCCCTATTTTGTATTTTGAGACAGGGTCTCACTGAGTTGCTTAGTTCCTTGCTTTTGCTGAGGCTGGCTTTGAACTTGGGATTCTCCTACCTCAGCCTCCTGAGTTGCTGGATTATAAGCGTGTGCCACCAGGCCTGGTGAAGTTATTTTTTTTTTTTTAACTTTTTTTTAGTTGTCAATGGACTTTTATTTATATGCAGTGCTGAGAATCAAACCCAGTGCCTCACACATGCTAGGCAAGTGCTCTACCACCGAGCCACAACCTCAGCTTGAAATTACTGTTTCAAGTTGCAATTTTTTTTTTTTTTTTTGTACCAGGGATTGAACCCAGGCATGTTTAAATTAACTGCTGAACCACATCCCCACATCGTCTTATTTATTATTTTGAGACAAGGACCAAATTGTTGAGGCTGGCTTTGAAACTGTGATCCTCCTGCCTCAGCCTCCTAAACTGTTGTGATTATAGGTGTGTGCCAGCGAGGCTGGTTTAACTTCCATTTCTTGTTATGGTTCTGAAAACTTCCTTCCTCTCATACTGGTTTTTTTTCTCTCTCTCTCTTCCTCTATACAAAGGCTGTTTGTAGCCATTGCTGTTTTTATAACTGGGGACTTGTGCCTTTTTCTTGTTGACTTGCAGGATTTCCAATGGGGAGATTGTTCCTTGTGCCACCTGCTGCAGATGCACAGTCTCAGAAGACTGAGGGACTGAGCTGAAGCAGCACCTGGACACACCCAGGAAATGGTGGAGGCGGCCCCAGCCCTCCCAGGACTGGCCTGCAGGTGCTCCACCCCAGGCAGGGCCAGCAGATACAAACCAGGACTCCCTCAGCACACAGCCCACCCTGCGCTGCTCTGTGAAGCAGGACTTAAAGCCGTCTTCTCAACATCCACGTCAAGGCCTGCTGAGGGGACAGGACCCTGCTACCCGACAGGATAGCCTGCCTCCCTGCCAGAGCACACACCACAAGGCATCTGGGGAAGTGCAGCGTGGCACAGCGCTCGTCTGTGTGTTGTCCCGTGTGGCACGCAGGGCCACCTCAAGGCACTCCGTGCACATCCACCTGTGCAGGTGCTGCAGACCAGGGACATGCATCCCCACGTGGCAGCCAGACTTCACACGTGGCTGCTGTGGGGCACCTGTAGGCGGGCTGCCACCCTGCCACCGCAGGGCACCTGTGTCCCGGTGAGGAGCTCTTTCCCGGCTTCCCACCAAGTCCCTGGGAGCTGTGCTTCCTGGAGGGAACCCTACACCTGCCTGGCCAAGAACAGCCCAGAGGACCCTGCACTGGAGCAGACGGTCGCTCTGAACACAGGTTTGGGGTGGGTGCCTGGGCTTAGTGGTCTCTGCGGTGACCAGAAGAGGATGGCCATGCTGAGCCCTGACACCAGTAGCCAGGCCTCCCTCTGGCCAGTGGGGTGGAGACTGAGCAGCCACACAGAGTCAGACAGCAGCGACTCTTTATTTTAGGCCAGGTGGGTGGCCATACAGGTGTGTGGCAGGCAGGTGGCCTCGGGCTCAGGCTGGCCTGGGAGAGGCTATACAGAAGTGGGAGCTGGACAGCGGTTCTGGAATATTCATCACTCACCACCAGAGTGAGCCAGGGCAGGGAGTGTCAGAGTTCCAAACTCAGGGCAGGAACACCTGGGCCAACACAAGCAAGCAGGGCAGCTGCTGTCCAATCAGTCAACCACAGTCCCACACTGCCGTGCCCAAGTTCCTGGGACGCAGCTGGCAGGCTGTGGCAGGAAACTGGCTCAGAAGGCTTTGACTGTTCTGGGGGAAGGGAGACTGCTGCTCTGAGCTGCTGCCCTGTGGGGGCCACTCTAGTGCTGGCAGGCTGGGTTGTGCCTGCAGGTGTGCAATGCTAGAGGCCTGCCAGTGGGGTACAGTTCCCAGCTTTCCCTTTACCAGGTCTCAGAGGCTAGCAGAGAACAGAGCAGGGGCGGGCTCGGGGGCTGCCTCGGCCCTGCTGGGAGAGGGGCAGATGTGGGTGACGAAGGGGCAAGAGCAGGAGACCCCTGCAGGCCTGGCTGGCTCCCCACCCCAGGGCCAGGTGTGCAGGGCAGCATGGAGGCCATGGGCTGACCTCAGTGGCCCTGGACCCCTCGGGGCAGGAGCTGCACATAGCTCAAGGCGCTCTGTAGTGACGTCAGGCAGTAGCCCTCCTCTCCAATCAGGTAGCTGCAAGGAGGGGCAAAGGCACGTGTCACCTTGAGGGGCATGACACCCAGGACTCTGGAAAGTGACGTCTGCTCTCACAGGGCAGGACCTGGGCCAGAGGTGACCAGACCTGGGCTGTCAGGGAGGCCAGGCTTGGGAGGGCCTTTCCCTACTACCTATTTGTCCGTGGGTGGCAGAACCACCCTTCCATGAGCAGGTGTTGTCAGGGCCTGCTGAGCAAGGGACTGTGGGACACAAAGGGCTCTAGGCACAGGTGCACCTACAACATGGCCCAGAGGTGCTGCTGGGGCCTCCAGCCTGCCTTCCTGTCTGCCCACAGCCTGTCACTGCCTAGCACCAGTCTAGGAACGGGGTGAAATCCCCTGGTGGACATGGCTGCCCTGTCTCTAGTCCTTCCCAAGGAGACACCTAGCTGGGGGTGCATGCCTGGCCCTGCCCCCGCACTGGCCCGGGTATTCCTACCCCTCATGGGTGAATTCCTCCAGGGCAGCACACTCTGACACCAGCTGGGGAAGCCCACTCCTCAGCACCACGAAGGACAGGATGGGCAGCAGGTCATCAGCACCACTGTTGGGCAAGAGCACAGCAGCTGGTGGGCTCCAGGGCCAGAGGGCCTTTCACTCCCCTAGCCTGGTGGCCCTGGAGTGGTCTTGGCCTGCCTGTTCTCCTGCCTATCAGCAGAACAGACCTCCTGAGTATGGATGGATGGTCCCCCTCCTGGCGGCCTACCACCCCGACAGTGTTGTGGCCACTCGGCTCCAGGCAGACATGATGCTCTGGGCGTGTTGCTCAGGGCCAGCAGCTTTGGGAAGAGTAGAGGCAAGGAGCCAGGGAGGTGGCCGGAATCTGAGCTGGGGCTGGAGTTGGTTGAGCCCCTTCCCTGCAGGAACATGGTGGCCCTGCACTGGCTCCACAGATGGGCTGGTGGGGGTAGAGGCTGGGACTCAAGCCCTTTTATCCCTGGAACTCATGAAATGGGTGAAGAGGCCATTGGGAGCCAGGCCACTTTTGTCAGCTTCTCCCTATCAGAGCCTGAAGTGGCCAGGAGGATTCTGCTTCCTTCCCTCCGGTGGAGCTCTGCCCTGCACTGCTGACCTGAAGCTGTAGGTCCCAGGTGCAGGGCAACAGGAGGCAGAGCTTATGCAGGGCTGAGGGGGACACAGCCTCCAGGTCAGAAGGGTGCTAAGTCCAGGGAGTCACAGTAGGATTGGGCACCACAAACCCCCTGGGCTACTGAGGTGGGGAGAAACCAGCTCGCCTCGGGACATGCCAGCAATGTCCCTGGCTGGGCGATCTGTGCAGGGCCCGGGGACTTCAGAGTGGCAGCTCCCTTGTTTGTGCTAGGTGTGTGACGGGGGCTACCAGCACATGCTGCTAGGGAAAGTAGTTTTCAGCTTCACCAGATCAGCCAAGGACCCATCCCTGAGAAGCCTTTCCCAGCCTGATGCAATGCCAGCAGCCTTGTCCAGATGGCTGGAATGTGAGGAAGGGGCAGGCCCCACCCCTCCGAGCCCAGGTCCTCTGTGGACTGTGCTAAAGTGAACGGCCCTGGATGCTTGGAGAGGCAGGGCTGCCGGGTCCTCCTCAGACAGCTGCAGGGCAGGTGGGAGAGTTCCCTCCTGCCCAGTCTCTGAGGGCAGGGCAGCTCCTCCTACCTGGGTGTCCTTCTCGGGGTGCCCTGGCCCCTCCTAGAACTCACATGGCAGCTGCCGGGGGATGGGCGCTGGCCTGGTGCGTGGCTTCCTGGGCGCGGCAGTACTCTTCAGCACAGACACAGATGGCCCGCAGGGTCCGCACTGTGGCACAGAAGCCTGGCTTCAGGGGTGGGGGTACAACAGAAGGACCCAGCAGGAACAGGAGGACCAAGGGTCCCCATGTGGGCGTCCTGCTGCTGCCCACCCTCTCCTGAGGTACAGGGCTGAGAAGAGCTGGTGCCATGCCTCCAGGGGTGCTGCCCTCACGTTTGGCCAGAGAATGTCGGTAGCCCAGAGGCGCCAGCACAGGGCCAGACCACCGCGAGGCGGGAATCTGCCTCGTGACTCCCACCTCTCAAAGCCCCCCGTACCAATGTGCTCCAGCTTCTTCTGAGGGCAGCTCTCTAGGACCAGCAGCCCCAGCTCCTGGACTGCGGCACAGTAGGGGTAGGTGGTGGCCCCCCGAGTCTCAGAGTGCGGGGGAAGGAGCCGGGTGGGGATGCCAAGGGCTGTGGGTGGCACGTTCCTGTAGAGCTCCATGCTCCTACTCAGGGCAGCCTCCTGGGTGCAGTGCACACTCCTAGGGCAGAGAGAGGCCAGCTCAGGCCAGGGCAGGGCCGAGCTGTGGCTGGGGGCCCTCGAACTCTGTCCTGGGGAGACTTGGCTGGCAGTGAGCCCAAGCAAACAGTCCAACAGTTCCCAAGCCTGCCTTGGGACCCGAGTCACCTGAAGAGCAGGCTTGTCTGGGGTGGCTGGCAGGCAGGGGACATACCTGTAGAGGGCCAGCAGCAGGGGCCACAGTGGGGAGAAGAAGGGCTCCTCGATGCACGCCAGGCAGCGGTCCTTGCAGGTGGCTGTGTTCAGGTTCTCAAAGGCCAGAAGGGTCAGCGAGAGCAGCCTGTCTGCCAGGAACAGAGTTGGGGATGTCCAGGCAGCCCCCCGCCCCGCCGACTGCCATTACCCCTGCAGGCTCTAGGCCCAGAGCAATGGTGTCCTCCTCCCCCCCCCCCCCGAGCCAGCCTGTGTGGCTGAGCCACAGGAAGGTCCAGGCTCGGTGTGGGGAGGGCTCCATTTGGTCCTTCTACTTGCCTTCAATCTCTCCACGCCCACCCCTGCCATGCTGGGTGGGTATGGCCCGGGGCAGGGCAGGGGGTCTGAGGCCAGAGGCCTGCTGCACCTCCTCCCTGGGGCTGCTGTAGCCAGGGGTCTGCAGAGGAGAGGGAAGGATGGCCCCTTTCTAAAGGACCTGCCTCACATCTGTAGGAAACACAGGGCTTTGGAGTCTGTGCAGAAGGGGCACGACCAGAGCCTTCAGGACGTGGGCAGCACTGGTTCTTAAAATCATGGAAGCCTTCATCCCTAGAAGGGGCTCACAAGACCCCTGCCACCTGAGCCCCAGGGTCCTCATGCCATTTCCCAGTGGAAGGGCTGGGGGTGAGCTGCAGACTCCAGCTGGTGCCCATGCTGGAGCAGCAGTCCTGGGCTGGGGAAACGCGCACCTCGTTGGCCCAGGGCACAGCCAGTATTAATTGCTGCCCACAGTTCTGACAGGTCTCCTGTGACAGGAGAGTTACAGGGACCAGGGCAACAAGGAGGGATGGACAGGTCATTTCTCCCCACCTCCCTGTGTAGCCCAGGGAGGACACAACCCAGAACAGAGGGAGACCCTGGGTGGGTCAGGGTCCACTGAGCCACATGGAGGATGGACAGAGGCTCTGTTGTCCAAGAAGGGGCTTTGGCTAGAGGGCTGCCACATGGGTCTGCTGCTCACCGATGGCATCGTGTATGTCCTTCACTGTACTCTTCAGGCACTCCAGCAAGGGCTCCCTCTTTGTTCCCGGGGTCTGTGGCTCAGGCTGCCCCCCAGGACCCTGGCTCCACCTCTCAGACATAGCCAGGAACTGCTCCAGATCCTCAAAGGAGCTGTCCTTGTCTGGCAGGCAGGCTGAGGCATCCGTCAGGGGTGAGGGAAGCCCAGCTGGGCTGCTGTCTGCCCCTCTGTCCAGGGGCCCAGGGTTGAGTGGGGGCATGGTGGGCGTGGCAGGGAGTCCATCCTGGGGCCTTGGAGCCACGCTGGACTCTGGGGGGGAGAGCATGCAGTACAGGCTCTGGGAGGACCGAAGCCGCCGGCCCCCGGGGGCCAGCAGTGCATCAGCACCTGGGGCAGACGCGGTGCTGAGGGCGCCCCGGCTCACAGCGGGGTAGAGGGCGCTGTACACCGCACACTGGAGCTTCTTGAGGAGCTGCGAGATTGGGTGGTCGGGGAGGCTGCAAGGAGAGTAGCAGGTTGACGGGCAGGGGCCGCACAGGAGGGCACGCACCGCTGCCTGCCCCATCCTTGCTCCTCAGCAGAGTGCAAGCCAGAGGCCTCCATGGGGGTAAGAAACCCGACCCCAGCCTGTCACCCTCTGTGGTGTCCACCCGTCCACAAAGGTGCCATGCCACAAGAGACCTAAGAGAAGCGATTCCTGTATGGTTTCTGGAGCGTGACCTGCCCCATGTGGGGAGGCTGGAGGAAGCCGACTGAAGCCATTAGTGCAGAGGGGCCGAGGCAGAGGGAGCCCAGGCCTCCACAGGGCCATGGCAGAGGGGCCATGGCGGGAGAGGGCGTCAGCGGCACCAGTGCCTCGGCCAGAGCCCTAGCCCCATGGCCTGCTACCCCACCAGCTGCCTCCCCAGCCATCACAAGTCAGCTTTTTTCCTCAGCCTCTTCCATGTTATCCAGCTATTGACAGGAGAAGCCCCTGGAGAACCGGTGGGTGGGATCTGTTTGGCCCAGAGTACCTGAGCAGGTGGGAGACAAGGTTGGTCACCAGTGACAGGTCCCCTGGGTTCCTCTTGAGCTTGCTCCTCCAGTGCTGTGGCCAGTCCTGTAGGACAGGGGGCCTTGAAGGAAAGCACAGTGGGTCCCCTGGGATGGGATGCCCCTTGTCCCCAACCAAGAGTGTGCCGGAGCCCTCCCAGGGTGTGGGGAAGACCCAGTACCAGTGGGCTATGTGACCCTAGCTCCGCCGCCCACCTGCTCCGCCAGCAGGACTCACGTGGTCTTGCTCGTACTCAAGGATGGCCGCGTAGAGAGCCCGCTGTTCCCGCTCCTCTGGGGTCAAGGCAACCTGACTGCAGAACCTCCTGGGGAGGAAGGGTGAGCTGGGCCCCAGGCTGGCACAGGGGACCCCGCTAGCTAAGAGACGTAGGAGACACACCTGTTGGCAGCCTCCTGAAGTCGCAACCGGCGCTCCTCCATCTTCCGCTGGAGCTGGGGCAGCAGAGTCAAGGTGCCGGTAACATCTGACCTGAGAGGACCTCTGCCCCTTCCCTATCCCTCACGGATCCTGCATGCCCCCAGCACCTGAGATGTCCTGGGGCCCCGCAGGCAGGCAAGGCCAGGACAGGCACTGACCTGCACAGGCTGTTCCCAGGGAAGACACCTGAGGCAGTCACAGCTTATGGACAGAGCTACTTGGTGCTGGAGGGGATGGACAGCTCATGCAGCAGCCAGGAGGTACGAGGCAGAGCGGCAGGTCGGCCATGGAGGACAGGCTCCTCCACAGCTCCAGAACTCCCAGGCTCTCCCTAGGCCCACTCTGCCCCATTGCAGAATCCCTAAACTCTAAGAGCACACTCTGAATCTCTCCTTGGGGACAACCAGGATGGCAGATGGGATGCTGTCTCCTCCCGGGCTTTGGCAATCACCAGATTCTCCATCATGTGCCGTTGCAGAGACAGAGTCTAGGAGGGGAAGGAGGATTCAGGCCCACTCCTCACCCACCCCTTGGACTCTTGCAACCAACCCTAGGCCCTCCCTGACCCACTCACCAGTGATGTCTTCTGCATGGCCTGGCTGGGGTCCAGGCGGGCCATCCTGGCCTCGTAAGTGGCCTTCAGCTTCTGGTTCTGCAGGGAAGCTTCCTCCAGGGGCGTCAGCTCCCTGGAAATGGTGCACGCTGCTGTCCAGACCCCAGGACTGAGTACCTGGTGACTCAAGCACCTCCCTGACATCCCTCCTGAGACCAAGTCATGGTGGCAAGGGCTGAAGGAGATGCAAGGGGTGTTCTGGGTAAACTAGACATGCCTTCCCTCCTAATCTGCCACCGAAACACAAGACTTCATATTGCCAGGAATTTTGGCTGGACATTTGAACTTGAATGAAAACTAGTTATGTTTCTATGGAAACAACTTGGAACTCTTGAAAAGCACAATGTACATGCCAAACAGATTTGTTTGCAGTCTGCAAAAAAGGAGAACCATGTCTACTCTGGGATGGGGCAGCAGAGTCAAGGTGCCGGTAACAACTGACCGCAGCCCTCCCCCACCTCCCTCCTCTTGGTGGTGGAGGGTAGCACGTGGAGGGGCAAGACCAAGGAGGGAGAGTCCACCGGGAAGTCCTAACAGGACCCTACAAGGACGTGACTCTGGTGTTGTGGTGGAGTCAGTTCTAGAAGTGCCCTTGTGAGTTAAGTCTAAGACACCACTGGAACCTCCCTGCCCCTGCATTCTTCTGCCCTGGAGATGTATGTGCAGACATGAGGGAGCCAGGAGCAGTGGGCAGGAGGAGAGGGTTCACTGGGCTTCCTGTGTCTGTATCTTGGTATCTTCCATTAGTTCTATAAAGTTCTCTGTCATTTGTATCTACTTTTTTTTTTTTGTACTGGAGATTGAATCCAGGGGCATTTTACAACTGAACTATATCCCCAGCCATTTTTTAAATATATCTTTTAGTCGTAGATACCTTTATTTTATTTATTTTTGTGTGGTGCTGAGGATCTAACCCAGTGCTCATGTGTGCTAGGTAAGCGCTCCACCACTGAGCTACAACCCAGCTCATGTTTGTTTGTTGAGACAGGGTCTCACTCAGTTGCTGAGGCTGGCCTTGAACCTGCAATCTTCCTACCTCAGCTCCTGAGCTGTTGGAATTACAGGTGTGCACCACCACACTGGGCTGTTATATCTTCAAATAATGGCCCCCCCTTCCTTTCCTTTCTAGAACTCCAAAACACATGTTTGGCCTTCCATTTCTCTTGAGTCTGTGACACCTTCTTGATTGTATCCCAGGCTTCTCTCCAGCTGTCTGCACCACTGAAGACTCATTCAATTGATTTTGTGTGGATTCCCACCAGAGAATATAATTTATTCTTGTTCCCAACTAGTTTAATTTTTAGTTGTTGATGAACCCTTATTTTATTTATTTCACTTGGTGCTGAGGATGGACCCCCCAGGGCCTCACACTGGGCCACAGCTGGTTTTTAAAGTGACTTCGGGATCGTGTGTCCAGTTTCCTTTCTACTTGGTTCTTCCTGGGCTTGGCCTGCCTGTACGGTTCTTGTTCCTGGCAGCGTTTTCAGATGCAGGGGCCTGAGAGCCCTACCTGAGGACACTCTTCAGGTCTGCTCTTGCTGTTTCTTGTTTCCTTCTGTGCTTGGCTATCTCTGGCTGTGGGCCATAGAACTCATGAAAGATGAAGGTCGTTTCTTCCTAAAAGGACTTGCATCTGCTCCTAGCATGCAAAAATGTTTCTACTCTAGACCCATTTCAACTAATTCCCCATGGTGGGCTCGCTGTGCTTGGCCTCCAAACCCAGTCCTCAACCTCAGTGCACCTCCCTCCATCTTACTTCTTAGAGCTTTGTGATTCTACCACCTGGAGCTTCTGGAAGATCTCAGGTGGCAGAAAAGGAGAAAGCTTCCCTCCTTCATCGGAACACACCCGGCGGTGTCGACTGGCAGGTGAGGGGACTGAAGCAGCCGCAGGCATGGCTGGCTTCAGGCGCACTTTTCCTGCAAACATACAAAGCCAGGATCAGCAGTGGGGGCCCACTGCACAAAACAGATGCAGACTGAGGATACTTCAGGAGAACTTCCTTCTTTGGGTACCCACCAAGCTTGGCAGCTGTTGACTGGGCCCGCTCCAGACACTGCCCAGCTAGCTTCAGCATCTTTGAGGTGTCAGGGGGCACAGTCTCATCAGCATCTGGGGAGGCACAGAGGCTGGCTGTACTCAGCTCTAGTAGTCAGAATCAGAAGCTTGCTAAGAACAGGCAAGCCCATCCTCACCTCTGACCCCCACCTCTGGCAGCCAGTGTGGCTCCACCGGCTGGTCTACTTGGCTCATGGCCATGCCCACTCCTGTGGCTGGCCAGTCCAGCATCAGACTAACCCTTGGCCTCTCACCAGACTCTGAATGTCAGAGCCCTGCTGGACTTTCACTCCTCACTGGGAGGCCTCATCCACAACTATGGCACATCTGGGGTGAGGGCCATGCAGCCTCTGTGGCTACTGCACAGAGACAGGATGTGCAGAGGGACTCCTTGGGCATCTCCCACCTGCTGCACATGCTCCCAGAATTGCCTTCCTGCAGGTTGGCCCCAAGCACCACCTCGCACCCCGTCCCCTACCCAGAGCTTCCTTCTACAGAAGCCTTCCTAAGCAGACACCCCCTCTGCCCTGGACCCCATCAGCCCTGGCTCCTGGACCTACTGCTGTGCTCCCCTTAGAACAGAACCTGTAAGACTCTATTTTCTTCTCATTCCCAGCTCTGCTGAAACTGTCCTTACCCATGCCCAACTTGCCAAAGACGGCAGGCTGCTCAGGTTTCTCTGCTTCTTGGATGTTACCCTCCCTTGATGATATCTCTTCCCAATGCCTCAATCCTGGAGTGCCCTCTGGCACTCAGCTGAGCTCCTTCCCTCTCTGGGGAACTGGGGTGACCACTGATTTTCCCTGACTGAGCCCTATATCCAATGGGCTGCTTGCTTTCAGACTTAATGTGTTCATGGTGGAATTCTCTCTTTCTCCCTCACAAATCTTCTTTGCCCTGCCATCCACCTGAGCTCCTCCTGCCCTTGGCACCACCTTCCCATAACAAGTCTGGTCAATCCCACTGCAAGGTACATGCCAACCTTTCATTGCTCCTGCCTCCAGTAGTCCAGCTCCTGCTGTCTGCTCTGCAGAACTGCCTCCAGTCTTTGTGCCTGTGCAGGCCTCTCTCACAAAGCTCGAAGCCTCTGTGAGCTCTTTCACAGCTCACACAGGCACACAGAGCCCTGCCCACATCCATTCCCTTCACACAGGCACACAGAGCCCTGCCCACATCCATTCCCTTCTCAGGGACTTTGCATGTCCTTATCTTAAGAACACCCCCACCTTTGTGCTGCCCTCTCCTCTCTGCCTTGGTCAGTGCCTTGTCCTCCTGAGAATCCATCCCTTTGCCCATAGCATTGCCCCTGGATGCCACCATGCCACACTTTTACAGTTCAAGCTCTTGACCCACTCTCTGCTAATGATCAGGCTAGAAGGACACAGAGACCTCAGGCCTGGAAAGCATCAAGAGCTAAGGTCTCACAGCGTGCCTTTATGAAAGACGCAAGGCTGAGCTGTACCTGGATGAGCTCCAGCATCCTCCAGTAGCACCTGGGAGATGTAGTGGATGCTCCTCAGGTATTCCGTGTATGCCTCCTGCGTTCCCGAGGGGAGAAATGGCAGGGGTCAGGCCACTAGAGGGGGTGACAGCCTCAGGGAACAGAAGCAGCAGTACCTGCTATCCCTGAGAGAGACCCCCAGCTTGTGGTGATTCACTGGGGCAGACAGCATCCCCACTGTCCAGACAGGAAGGAAAAGATGCCTGAGACGGATGCCAGAGGCTTATTCCTACAACATCTGCACTGGGCAGTGAAAGCAGGGACCACCTGGGCATCAAGCTGCCTCTCACTGTCCTCTCAGGCACAGAAAAGCAGCGATTACTTCAGTGGCCTGGGGAAGCAGCTTCAGCAGCTGATGCTGTTTTTCACTCTGTGCAACAAGTTTCCTTCCTGTGCAACACAACCATTCATTCTGTCCTTTAAGGAAAATGCGTCCTCAGAGGTTAAGGAGGGGATGAGGCTGCAAATCCCAGACTCACTTTATGGCTTAGGTTCAGGAAAACCCTTTTTCCCAGAACCACAGAATAAATCCCCGCCCAGGAGCTGGAAGGGCTGAATGCGGCGTTTTTAGGGTGCGACTGCTCTGACCACGGCTCTGACAGCCCCGGAGCGGGGAACCACAGCACAGAGTGCTTGTTTTCTTCTAAACCACTTGTCAAATCATCCACCCTAGATTCAGTCTGCACTACAGAGACAAGGACAAAATGGATTCCAGCAGATTTCTGACTCTTGCCCCAGAAAACCAACTTGGGGAACCAGGATGCCCTCCCTGGGCAGCCAGTGTGGCTCCACAGGCTGGTCTGCCTGGTCGCCGCCCACGAGGTGGCAACCATCGTCAGGGGCAAGTCACCCCGCGCCCCGCATTTCCTTCCCGCGGCCTCTGAAGGCTACTGCACCTCCGCATCCCCAGAGCCGGGGAGGCCCTCGGGCTCCGTCCCGGGCTGGGTCCGCTGGCCCCGGAGCCACACACGCATCTGTCAGTCCCGTAAGCTCGGCGGCTTCGCACCCACCGGGGCTCGGGTTCTGACTCGCTGGCCAGCCGGAGCTCTGCCCGGCGCGCGCCGCGCTGCCCGAGTCCACCGCGCGCCCACAGCCGGCCGCCAGCCGCCAGCCGGAGCGCGCCCGGCCGCCGCCCACCCTCGCCCACCGGCCGCCGCGGCGCCCCGTTCAGTCTCACCCGGGGCCGGTTGCCGGCGTCCAGCTCGATGGCCCCGTTGGCCAGTTTCATGGCGTTTTGTAGAGGCCTCGCCGCACCGTCCCCGGCCGCAGCGGCCATGACGCCGGGCGGGGAAGGCGGCAGCGACAGCGGCGGCGGCGGCGGCCGAGGGGCCGGACGGGCGGCCGCCGGCCGGAACGCAATACGCGCGGGCGCGGGAGCCACCCGAGTAGCGGACCAACGGAAGGGGCGCGGCGTACTTCCGGCTGCCCCCCTCCCGCCCCGCTCAGTAAGCCTTCGCCCCGCCGGTGGAGGGAGCCGGGCGCCGGGGCGCGGGGGGCGGGTCCTGTCAGTGGTCTGGGGCGGGCCCTCTCCCCGTCTGCACCAGGAGATTGGTGGAGGCAGCCTCCTCGCGGGGTTGCCGAGAGCCCTTAAGAGCTACAACCCGCGCCTCCGCGCCTCCACGTCTGCGGCCGATCGGCCCCTCGGCCGCCCGAGGTGAGGGCGGGAGGACCAGCGCGCCTCCCCGTCGCGGACTTGTCACGAGTTCTAGGCGACTTTCGTCCCTGAGGCCAGACCCGCGGGCGGCCGCGGCGGGCAGTGTGGCCCTCGGCCTGATAGGACGCGTTCCCTGCCTCGCCGGTGTCGGGTCCGGTGACGCCCAACGGCTGGGTCGAGCCGAATTCTGCACGCAGACAAGTGGGGCGGAGCGGAACCGAGCGGAACCGAGCGCGTAAGTTCTAGCGGGGCCGAGCGGAACTTTGCAAGCAGAGTGAGGTCGAACCCCGCCGAGCCGAGCCGAGCCGCGCAGAACGAGGGGGTCGAGCGAGCGGGGCCGAGCGGGCCGTCTGTCGAGCCGAGAGGGCCCGAGCGGAGCCGAGCAGGCCCGAGAGGGGTCGAGCGGAGCCGAGCGAGCACAGTCGAGCTGAGCCGAGTCCGCCCGAGGCGCCCCGAATACCTCGGCCCGGCTGTACTGGCGGCCGCCGCCATGAAGCGGGACCGGCTCGGCCGCTTCCTGTCGCCGGGGGCGGCGCGGCCGCGCGGGGCCTCGGGCGGCGGCCTTGGCGGCCGAACCCGGGGCCGACCCTCGCGCAGCAGCGCACCAGGCGTGGACAGGGCGGCGGCCTTGGCGGCGGCGCGTCTCAGCTGGGCCCCGGCTCGGGCCTGCGCGGACGCGGGCGAAGACGGAGCGGACGAGGCAGGTGGGTCGGGCCGCGTGGGCGAAGCGGGCCGGGGTAGCGGGCCACTCCCGCCCCTTGGCGCGGTGATGTGAAGCGCAGAGGGCCCGCGGGACGCGCCCGGCCGTCTGTGGGCTCGCGTGGCGGTGGTTTTCGGCAGGCCGGCCGCCGTCTAGGCTGCTAGGCGTTCAGCGCTCAGGTCTTGACGTCCGACAGCTCCGGCCTTCATTCCTGCTCGTTCATGGTGCTGGGATTGAACCCGGGGGCGCTGTACCACTGAGCCACATCCCCAGTTCCTTTTGCTTTTTGAGACGGGGGTCTTGCTAAGTTTTTGAGGCTGCCCTTGAACTTGGGATCCGCCTGCCTCAGCCTCCGAGCCACTGGGATGACAGGTGTGCACCACTGCTCCAGGACCTGCTGACCCTTTGTTCTGTGCACCTTTTAGATACCTTAACCACCCTGAGCCTCAGGTTCCTGTTGTGAAAGCTCATCCAGAAGGTGTGGTAGAAGCACTTCATTGTGAACTCCTTGACCCCCCCTGGCTGCAGCAGTGTACTTGGCCTGTGTAATAACTTTGCCCTTCTGAGAAGGCCTTTCTGTGCCCCCTTGTTTAATCACTGGGGGCAGGAAATGAGGTGACACCCTCGTTTGGCAGGCAGGAGACACAGGGATGGATGGTGTGGGCACAGCTCCTTCATTTCTAGAGCAGGAATGAAGTTCCACCCTTGTGGAGGCATTTGGAATTGTTGAACCAGTGATCTTCCAAAAGGCTGGATGTCCCGCTGAGCCCGGTGCCTGAGGGCCTCACACATTCAGCCTGAGGCCTGCCTCTCAAGGCCCCAGAGGGCACTTCCCCCCAGGCTCAGATTCCTCAGAGCTTCTCCTGTGTCCGCGCACAGCTGCCAGGCTTCCTGCTGACTGTTGACATTGCTTTGTCCAGGAACAGGCCGAGCTCTTGCCATGGGGCATTGTCGCCTCTGCCACGGGAAGTTCTCCTCACGGAGTCTCCGAAGCATCTCTGACAGGGCACCTGGGGAGAGCTCTGAGAGACCGTCCCCAGGGGAGCGTGTCTTCATCAGGGACTTCCAGCGTCTGCTGGGTGTGGCTGTGCACCAGGACCCAGCCTTGTCTCAGTTTATCTGCAAGAACTGCCACACCCAGTTCTACCAGTGCCACAGCCTCCTCAGGTCCTTTCTGCAGAGAGTCAACGCCACCCCGACAGGTCATCGGAAACCTTGTGCAAAGTAGGCTCCCCTGCCCTTTTTCAGTAGTGGGCATCAATCTAGGGTTTCATCCACATGCTAGGCAGGTGCTCTACCACTGAGCTACAACCAGGCTCAGTTGCCTCATAGTAGGCTTTTTTTTTTTTTTTTTTTAATATTAATTTTTTTAGTTGTAGTTGGACCCAATACCTTTATTTTATTTATTTTTAATGTGGTGCTGAGGATGGAACCCAGGGGCTCGCACATGCCAGGCGAGTGGTCTACTGCTGAGCCACAACTCCAGCCCTCATAGTAGGCTTTTGTTTAGTCATTTAGGGGATGTTCAGGGATACAGCATGTCACAGGAAGTGCCCGGGGTGCTGGGTGGTGTTTAGGGTCAGGGAGTACCGAGGTGGGAACCTTTGCAGTGGGGTGGGTAGGCAGTGCCTGGCTCTGCAGAAGCCAGTGTAAGCAGGCCCTGGTACTTCGGGCACCCATGGGACCCACAGAAAAGCTGCAGAGCTCTGCCCAGACTTCAGCTTTCCCAGGTTCTAAGGGCAAGGGGCAGCCCTGGGAAGGAACAGGTTTCCCAGCAGAGGGTTTTCAGCGGGAGGCAGCTGGAAAGGTTTGAGAGATCTGAGGCTCCTACAGAGGGAGCATCTGCTTATGGCCACACTGATCTCTGCAGGGTTGGTGCTCAGCCCCCCACAGTGGCAGAGGAAGGAGCTCGTCTGGGTAAGTCTGCCCCTGGTATCAGGGTGGGCTTTCATTTGGGCTGGGAGTTGGCCTGTATGGGGCTGACATCTCTATTGACTCTCCTCAGTGGATCTGATCACCTCGAGCCCCCGGTGCCTGCACGGCTTGGTGGGGTGGGTGCACGGACATGCGGCCAGCTGCAGGGCCCTGCCCAGCCTTCAGAGGACACTGTCCTCCGAGTACTGCGGCATCATCCAGGCTGTGTGGTGCTGCGATCAGGGCCACGACTACACCATGGACACCGACTCCCGCTGCAGAACCCTCTTGCTGGACAGTGCACTGGCAGTCAAGTGGGCCTGGGACCAGGAGACGGCCCCACGGCTCACCCAGAACCAGGCATCCAGCCCCCCTGGGGTTGCCCTTCAGCTCTCCCAGGGCAGAGGGACCACAGTTGGGTCTGAGACCAAGATGCCACCCAGCATGGATACATCCTCACCTCCCTCAGATGGCAGCCCTGTGGGGCCTGGGCCAGGCCCCCCACCACAGCCCAGCTTTCCCCTCTGCGAGGCCCCAGGTAGGAGGCACCTGTAGCCTGTGCTAGGCTAGGATTTTGTATTCCCTAGTGAGGCAGGGTCTTCAGCTGAAAGCAAACTTCTCCACCATCCTGGGTGTTGGTCGTGGTGCGGGGAAATGGAGGTGACAGGAAAAGATGTGGAGCCAGCCTCCATGCTCCTTCCTGGGAGCAGGTGGGCACCCACCTGTTTGGGCTTTCCGTCCCTTCCCAAGTAGGCTTTGCTCTAGCAGTTATCGTGAAGTTTCTCCTCTGTTGTCCAGTCTTTCTCCAAGTCAGTGCTCAGGGCAGAGGGCACCAAGGGAAAGGAGGATAATGGGGCCCTTGTGTATGGGATGTGGGGGAAGAGAAGCCTCTGCTTTGGGCCAGCTGCCTGTGACTCCCTGGTGTGTGGCAGCCTCTGCTGCTGACTGGCTGAGGGGAGCAGTCCTTCTGTGGGGCCCAGACCCCACTTGTGTGTGGTGCAGCTGCCCCTACACATTGTGTTGGGAGGGCCAGTGTCAGCTTCCTGTCTGCCTCTGGTTTTCTGTGGGTACCTGTACACCTCTCGCCTGTGGGCACTCAGCTGGCTCCTATGTGCAGGTCCTCCGTGGGCCTCTAAAGAGACACGACCACCCAGGTGGTTCAGCTAGAGACACGTGGATGGGACAGCACAGCTCCCTGGAAGGGCTGTGAGGGCAGAGCTGAGTGTCACAGGCATTTCAGAGTGCTTGATTTTGTGAACTGTGCACAGGTGTAGTGGCATCTGTAGTCCCAGCTACTCAGAAGGCCGAGATGGGAGAATCGTCTGAGCTTGGGAGTTTGAGACCTACCTGGGCAGCACAGCAAGACCCATCAAAGCAAAACCTGAAAACCAATATTCTTAGAAATGTCCCCAAAATTCCACCTGTGGGGCAGCCACCTGGATTAAGGGCCTGAGCCTGGGAGGAGGAGTCAGGCTTACTGACAACCATCTGGGAGGTTCCTACATCTCTGACATGGGGTTGGGCTAGGCTAGAAGGGGGCTGAGGCCCGAGGACCCCAGGCTCTGCGGAGGCAGCTGCAGCACACTGCCTCCGCGTGGGAGCCTCTGCTGCGTTGGTAACAGGAGCCTGTTCTTCACTTCCCAGGGCAATTGGGTGAGAAGCAGGTTCCGTCTTCAGCCTCGGATGATCGGGTAAAAGACGAGTTCAGTGACCTTTCTGAGGGGTGAGAGAAGAGTGGGTTTAAATAGCCTAACATTTCTCCTTCGAAAACCAGACTCAGCCACCTGAGGGGCTGTTGCCCATGCCTGGTGGGCACTCCCTGCCTCCAGGGTTGGGAGGAGAGGCGAGGCCAGGGCAGCTTCCAAGGTGTCTTGATTCTGACTGGGGACCCAGCACAGCTTCCCAGGAGCTAGGGCAGTTCCTAGCCCAGGGCAGTGGGGAGTGTCCTTGGTTAAACTGCCACCTGGCTGTTTTCTTCTTAAAAGCATTAGCTTTCTGCTAACCCAGGTGCCACTAGAACAGCAGGTGCCACGCACTGCCCTCTGTGACGGGGTTGAGGCTTGAGAAGGCCTTGCTCAGGTTGGGCTTGTGGGCCTCCCTTGGAAGGAGTGCTGTCAGGGTCTCTCAGCTCTGGGCTGAAGCTCACCCCCTACCCTCCTGCCCCATGGCCTTGGTGGGGGCCCAGATGCATGTAGTCCATATGGGGAAGGACGGCCAGTTTTTGGTTCTCCTCCAGTGAGGAGACTGGATGTGGCTCAGGCTCAGCTGCTGGATGGCCACAGGCCTTCTTCCATATATGCGGGTGGCAGCCTGGGGGAACATGATGGGCTTTTTAGCCTGGCTATTTGCTGACCAACAGACCAAACAGTGATTTGTGTTTTAAGGTGAAGGTCACAGATCTAACCTCTGAACTTGGGAATGGCTGAGAGCAAATCTGTCAGCTACATAGGTACAGTGGTGAAGCCACCCACCATGCAAGCCCACCTTCTGAGTCTACCCCTCAAGGGCCAGTAAAGAACCCTTCTTCAGTCTGGGGTTCTGGCACTGGAGAATATGACTCGTGGGGACTGCTGCCCGAGCTCAGTGACCCTGGCTTGCCCTTCCTGTAGGAAACGGTGTTGGAGACGGCTGTAGATTTTTAGACATTTTCAGGAGAACTGAAGTGGGCCATGGGGTCTCTGGGTGTCTGGAGATAGGCCTGGGGTCTGTGGCTGGCCCATAGGGGACTTTGCTGAAGGCTGTATCCTCTCTCCTAGAGACTTCCTGAGTGAGGATGAAAATGACAAGCAGCAGAGTACACAGTCCTCCGACGAGTCCTTTGAGCCTTACCCAGAGAAGAAGTAAGGGTGCAGCCCCGCTGCCGGCATGGGGGCTGGTGGGTGGTGAGTGGTGGGTGAGCCCAAGTCTGCACGTGAGAGAGCCAGGCTTCTGTTGCTCCCCTGGCCCCATCTCTCTAGCCCAGCAGATGTGGTTTCCGAGTGACCAGTAGGCTGGTTTGAAGAGCCAGACAGGCAGATGAATCTGTGGAAGGAGGGTCCCTGTGGCTGCTGGTTGGGGCTACGATAAAACCCAGCACTGTTCCTTAAGTGCATGCCACCAGGATACCCATCTCAATGCTTCCTGCTCCCTGGGTCCTACTTCTGAGGCCCAGGGACCCAGCTTGGTGACCACTCCCAACTTTGACTCTGGCACTGAGGTGTAGTGTTTTTTTGTTTTTTACTGGGGATGGAATCCAGGGGTCAACCACTGAATCACACCTCTTCTATTTTTTTATTTTGAGATAAGTTCTAAGTTGCTTAGGGCCTTGCTAAGGCTGGCCTTCTACTGTGATCCTCCTGCCTCAGCTTCCTGAGTCACTGGGATTATGGACATGCACCCTGTGCCAGGCCCTGGTACTGTTTTGTAGCTAGGCATCCCACAGCACTTAGCAGCCAGCTGATGCCTGACCCAGTCATTGCCCAGAGAGCAAGCAGCTCTGAATGCCACACAGTCAGCCAGGAAAAATCCTATAAGAGACATAAACTTGGCTTCCTTTTTCTCAAGAAAGTTCTGACATTCATGGAAGGAGAAAGAGAGGAAAGTAGGAGGACAGTCAGAATCAGCACTTGACCAACCTGAAGTGCTTGGCTAGGCTAGAGCAGGCACAGCTGACTGGGGCCAGGAAGCATGGCTGGGGTGCAGCCTAGAGCTGCCATGAGGAGGCCCTGCTTCCTGTATGGTGGCCTCGATAGGCTGAGTCTTGGCACACACCTGGAGTTTGCTGGGCACTGGTGTGGCAGGGCCGTGGGCCAAGAGGGACAGGTGGGTCTCCTTTCCAGACAGGTCTGGGAGGGGAAGTGCTCTGCTGGGGCCCTTGCTGCTGACTCCCAGGTACACAGACACACACTTTGGATTGGGACGTGATAATATCCTAAGGCCTCTAATAATACGGGCTATTTAGGTGGAAACCACTGTAGGAGATGAGAACAGGACATGGACCTGGTCCTCTGCTAACCATGATGTATGTGCAGGACCTGGAGGCCACGTGACTCCTCAGGTGGTAGCATGTGAGCTCCAGCTGAGAACCTGCAAAGATCAGGCCTTGAGCCCGCCTTGGCCCAGGCCCTGTGCCTTCTTCACAAGTGTTCCTCTTCGGTCACCTCCACTTGGACTCCAGACAGTCCTGGCCATCGGGGTCCTCAGCCTGGAGATGGGTCAGAGCACAAAGGTCCTACCCAGAGGTCAAAGCCAGGACCTGGCCTGAGGGGATGGAACAGCTGAGAAAGGGGAGGTGGGATGTTCATTTATCAGTGAGCTTCAGAAGTGAGTGGTCTGGTGTGGGAGGAGATGGCCTGTCACTGACAGGAGGGGGTCACCCTGCCCAGCAATGGGGCTGGCCAGGAGGGGACACTGGACAGTTATCAGGGAGATGGAGCAGCCTGCACATCAGCAAAAAGGCTCCCTTAGTACACTTATTTAAACCTCTTTTACGTGTACAGTCCAGCAGTACCAGGTGCAGGCACAGCGAGTGGCTCATGATGATCATGACTAGAAACTACCTGCTGAGCACTGCCTTTGCCGCTCCCTGCCGGGAGCCCCACCCCTTCTTGCCCCCAATGCTGTGTGGCTGAGCCGCACTCACCGCAGGGACACACTGGCTGGTGGGTTCTGTGTGGGGTTGTGCTGACCTTTCAGCTGTTGTCAAGGACGTTGTAACACTCATCGAGTTCCTGCCTTTGGCCCTTTGGGGTGTATACTTAACAGTGGAATTGGGCCTTGTTTGGTGCTTCATGTGTAACTCTGAGGAGTCGCCCTTGTTTTCTATGGGGGATGCACCCCTTCAGTCTGTATGGCAGTCATCCTTGCCACCCTGCGCTTTCCTGGGTTTGTTCATTGTGCAGATGGTGTGAAATGGCTTCTCTTCCTGGTGGAGGCAGTTGCCTGGTATGACTCCAGGATTGTTGCCATTTGCAAGTTGTCTTTGGAGAAATCTTTTGGGGGCTCTTACTGAGGATTGAACCCAGGGGCACTTAACCACCGAGTCATCATATTCCCAGCCCTTTTTTATTTTGAGACAGAGTCTCACCAAGTTGCTGAGGCTGGCCTTGAACCTGTGATCCTCTTCCCTTAACTGCCCAAGCCTCTGGGATAACAGGCAGATTTTGCCCATTTTTAAACTATGTTTGCTGTTTAGTTCTTCATGTATTTTGGATATCAAATCCTTACCAGATGGGTGGTCTGCAAACACTTTCTCCTGTCTTCTCTTTTATCTTGGTAGTACCTATCAATATTCAACATTTAAAACTTGACAAAGTCTAATTTGGCGGTTTGGTTGTCTCTGTTTTTGGTGTCATATTTAGGGAGCTACTGCCAAATGAAATTTTTTATGATTTACTGATGCTGTTTTACTCTTAGATTAGGTCCTGATCCACTTGAGTTGATCTTAGTGTATGACACCATGTGTTGCAGAGGTATTCTCTGCTCACTGAACGGTGCTGGCACCTTGTTGAAAAATCAGGAGGTCCTGTGTGAGGTTCCCTGTTCCAGACCATTTGATTGGCATGTATGTAACTGTATTCAGTAACAGTTTTGTCTGCCAACTTGTTTACTGCCTATCTGTGGAAGCTTTTTGTTTGTTTATTTTGTTTGGTACTGGGGATTGAATCCAGGTGTGCTTAATCACTGAGCCACATCCCCCAGCCTTTTAATCTTATTTTTCATTTTGAGACAGAGTCTAGCTAAGTTGTTAGTGCCATGCTTAGTTGCTGAGGCTGGCCTTGAACTTGTGATCCTCCTGCATCCTGCCTCAGCCTTCCAAATAGCTGGGATCACAGTCATGCATCAAATGTAATTTCTTTTTTTTTTTTTTTTAAAGAGAGAGAATTTTAATATTTATTTTTTAGTTTTCCGCGGACACAACATCTTTGTTTGTATGTGGTGCTGAGGATCGAACACAGGCCGCACGCATGCCAGGCGAGCACGCTACCGCTTGAGCCACATCTCCAGTCCCTGCCAACTTGTTTTTGAATCAATCTTGCCTATTTAGTATTCCTTAAAGTTCCATGTTAAATTTTAGATGGGTTTCTCCACTTATCAAAAAAAAAAAAAAATCTCTTTTTTTCATTTTTATTTTGCAGAACTTGGGATTAGACCTGGGGTTCACCCATGCTTGGCAAAGCTCTCTACCATGAGCTATACCCCAGCAGTGGAGCTCTGTGCTGGGGGGAGATGATTGGCTCTTTCCACGTGTGTGGTCTCTGGCTATAGCAGCTCTGGTGGATTTTTAATATGCAAGTATTTTGCCTTTGGTTAATTTAGTTCCTAGTTATTTTATTTACTTTTCTTTCAGATTCTGGGGTTGAACCCAGGGATGCTCTGCTAAACCTCTAGCCTTTTTAAATTTTTATTTTGAGACAGGGCCTCACTAAGTTGTAGTGGCTGGTCTTGAACTTGTACCCTCTTGCCTCAGCCTCCTGAGTTGCTGGGAATCATAGGATCACAGGCGTGTTTGAGTTTTTTTGTTTTTGGTATCACATCATTTTATTTCTTTGGTTTTCAACTTCCTTATTTCACAGGGCAAATTTAGGGCTGGGGTTGTAGCTCAGCAGTAGAGCACTTGCCTAGAATGTGGAGGCCCTGGGTTTGATCCTCAGTATCATATACAAGTAAATAAATAAAATAAAGGCATTGTGTCCAATTACATCTAAAAAATAAATATTTAAAAAAAATTCAGTCTCCCACCTTCCTAGCTACCTTGCTGACCCTTATTGAAGATGACTCTGAGAGGAGGCTCAGCAGAAAACAGGGAGTCCAACAGCCAGCCAGGCTGAAAAAGGCTGTGGGGGCCTCCAGCAAAAGGGTCAGATCTTCCTCCCATCCCTTTCCACACTCTGCACCTCAGTTGCTTTAGGTTCAGTTTCTAAAGATGGTTCCATACCGAAAGAAACTGGTACAGATGGCCATGCTATAATACTCCTCTTTCCCCCAGGAAGGGCTGAAAACAGCTTTTGATAACCAACCTCTCCATACACCCCCAAAATACAGCTTTAAAGCTTCCAACACCAGCAAGGGGGCCTGGCCAACCCACTTAAAGTCAAAACAAAGACAAAACAATAAAAATACGACCAGCAAACAACCAAAAAAAACATCTGTGCTCCTGCAGCTTTCTACAAGGGAGCAGATGGCTGAGCCAGAAAACACAAATATGCTCTTGGAGTCAGGATAGATGCTGTTAAAGGGCATCCTGGCCATGCCCTCAGGTCCTTGACCTTCTCCAAACTGGTCCCCGTCAGCCATCAACCAGGGTTAGGCTTTCCTTCATAGAAAGAGGAGTGGGCTTGTACTTGGTTCTGTACCCTGCAGGTCCGTGTGCATGCTGGTGCTCGACCCCTGAGCTGCACCTTCAGCTCCTTTGTTGGTAATTTTTGTGAAGGGTACTCCACATATGTAGCCGTGTCACCTGTGAATAGTTTATCTTCCTTTCCGTTTTTTCCTTCTTGCTGAGTCTCTCTGCATAGGACCTCTATAGTGTGTTCAAAAACAGTGATAACATGGGCATCTTGCCTTTTTCCTGATGGTAGAATTTTAGCCCTTTACTGCTGAGCATGGTGCCTGCTGTGGGTTTCCTTATCTGGGCCCAAAAGGAAACAAGTGTCCTGCACCTTCTCCTGATGCCCCTGGGACACCTGCTGCAACCTGAAAACACCATCCCATGTTTCTGGATGCAGTCCCACTCCTGTTCTGGCCCCAGCCACAGGTTGAACATACAGCCCCCTCTAGACTCTGCCCTTGCTTTCTGGGCCTGCCTGTTAGGCTCTGGAGTGTCCAGAGGTGATGTTGAGCTTTTTTCTGGTGTGAGGTTGTGGTAAAGGGACCAACCCTCCATTTTCTTAGCTTTGTTATCCACATCTGCAGACAGGCTTTGGCTCTGGAGATGCACCAATTGGTGGGGAGACACCTGCTTTCTGCGCCTGCACCATCTCCAGAGTGGTGCCAGCTTTGGTGGCTACTAAGATGGGCTCCAGGGCAGCCAGTTGGCCCAGAAGCAGCGTGGTCATGGGAGCGGGAGGAGGACCTGGGGTCTGAAGAGAAGCACAGAACACCGAGGACTGTCAGAGTGGAGGCCGGACTGAATCTTGGGGTGTCTTTTTTCTCAGGGTCTCTGGTAGGAAGAGTGAAAGCAAAGAGGCCAAGAAGGCTGAAGAACCAAAACCTCGAAAGAAGCCGGGACCCAAGCCTGGGTGGAAGCAGCAGCTCCGCTGCGAGAGGTGAGGGGCTGTGGTGCGGGTGCCCTGTTCCTCGGGGCAGCGCCTCCACAAATGCTGTGCCTTGCAGGGAGGAGCTGCCCACCATCTACAAGTGTCCTTACCAGGGCTGCACAGCCGTGTATCGTGGGGCTGACGGGATGAAGGTGAGGAACAGCTGAGGGGTGACTGAGGTGTGGCAGGGGTTAGTGTGAGCCCAGTCCCGGAGACCTGTGTAGAGCCAACCCTGTGCTCAGAGACGCTGCCTGTGGGCTGGAGAGGAGTGAAGCTGCAGCTGGGGCTGGGTGTAGCTCAGTGGCAGACACTGCAAAAGGCCTGGTTCCATCTCCAGCACCGCATGAAGGAGGGGATACATGGAGTAGTTGGATTTGCCCTGCTTCCAGGAGGGCCGGGCCTTGTCTGCTGAGGAAGTGGGATGTGCTGCGACGTGGGTTGGGACTTTGAACAGACCAAACAGCCAGAATCCTTTGCCTGCACCTTCCCGCAGAAGCACATCAAGGAGCATCACGAGGAGGTCCGAGAGAGGCCCTGCCCCCACCCCGGCTGCAACAAGGTGTTCATGATCGACCGCTATCTGCAGCGCCACGTGAAGCTCATTCACACAGGTACGCACCTACCCTCACAGGCCAGACCCCCAGGGGTGTGGTCCAAGTTTGGGTGGTGACCATGACCATGGCTGGGCACCCTTTTAGGAGGACCAAGACTGTGTCTTGATACTAGATGGCCTTGGGTGCTCAAAGGCTACTTGAGAGGTCAAGGTGAATCTGCACACAGGAGTGAGTGCCCCTGCCCTTCTCCTTCAGGACCCAAGCAGTTGCTAGACTGACAGCATAGGAATCTGGCACCCTGCCCCCATGGGTTCATTGTTATAGAACGTTCTACCGTTCTGTGTACCTTGTAGAAATGTGAAAATCAGGTACAGGAAAGACATTGAACCCCCCACCCCCCCCCTCCGCCTCCTCCTGCAGAGGGCCCACTAGGTTCCCTCAGGATGTCACTGTCCCATATTCTCCTGGCCTGAGCCTGTGGATCCCTCCCAACAGAGGTGCTATAGGAGTTGTCCCCAACAACTGGGAGCTCCATGCTAGAATTCTGTACACAGTGATGTGACTGCCAGCTCACTCACCATGAAACCCATTCATGTGCCATTTCTTTCACTGGACATTACTTCCAGGTTTTTTCCTGCCCTACACAATCTGTGTGTTTGTGTGTGTGCACACACGCGCTATGGACTGAACCCAGGGGTGCTCTATCATAAGCTACATCCCCAGCCCTTTTAATTCATTTTGAGACAGGGTCTTGCTAAGTTGCCCAGGCTGGCCTCAAACTTGGGATTCTGGGATCCTCCTGCCCCAGCCTCTAGAGTGGCTGGAATTGTAGACTGCACCACCATGCCTGCCCAGCAGTCAGCCAGATGGTATATCTGTGCCATTCAGAAACTTGTTTGTATCAGGAACATACCCATCTGTGAACAAGGCCCTGGCGTAGGCACACAGTGTTTGCGCCAGGTTACACACCACGGGGCTGATGTGTCTTGGGGACCCATGCTCACTCCCTTTCTGGTCTCCAGAGGTACGCAACTACATCTGTGATGAATGCGGACAGACCTTCAAGCAGAGGAAGCACCTTCTTGTCCACCAGATGCGCCATTCAGGAGCCAAGCCTTTGCAGTAAGTGTGGGCTGGGTGCTTGGAGGCTGGGACTGGTGTGCAGCCTCCCTCACCTGCCTCTGTCCCCAGGTGTGAAGTCTGTGGGTTCCAGTGCAGGCAGCGGGCATCCCTCAAGTACCACATGACCAAACACAAGGCGGAGACAGAGCTGGACTTTGCCTGTGACCAGTGCGGCCGGCGGTTTGAGAAGGCCCACAACCTCAATGTGCATATGTCTATGGTGCACCCTCTGACACAGACCCAGGACAAAGCCCTACCCCTGGAGGCGGAGCCACCACCTGGGTCCCCGAGCCCCTCTGGGGCCATGGAAGGCCAGGCTGTGAAGCCAGAGCCTACCTGAGGTTGGCAGGTGGGACAGTGGCACTTAGAGCAGCTGGAACTCTGCCGGTGTGATGTGGGGTCTAAGACGTGTCCACGTTCTCTAACTGGGGCACAGCTTTGCGTGCTTCTGGGAGTCCATGCTGCATCCCTGCCCCACGTACATCATCATGTGTCAGGCAGGCTGGAGGGCGCCTCTCTCCCTTGGCTGGTCAAGGGAGCTTGAGTATCGTGTAGCCTTTCTGTCACTCTGGGACCAGCAGCTTATTTTCCAAGTACTGAGCTACTTGAGGCCAGACAGATTATGAGTAACTGATTCCTTTTCCTAACTTCTGCAGCCAAGGAGATTTGTAACCCATTTTCTAGTGCAACAAGAGCTTCATGTTATGCTTGCAATAAATTATTTACAAAGGAGCCAGGCTGGTGCACTGAGCAGAGTCCAGTCAGAAGAGACGGGGCTCCTGGTAGAGGTCAGTGTCAGGCACCGCCCGCTGCCTGCTCAGAAGGGCGCTGCTCACCTCAGGGTCCCAGTCTTCCCGACCAGCCAGCAGCTGTGAGAAAGGAAAACACTACTCAGGACCAACAGCCTGGGGCTGAGATGTGAAATCAGACCCAAGGAGAGGGTCTTGAGTTACCTCTGCCATGTTTGAGGAGCCGTTTTTCAGGCACTGAGGTATTAACTGCAGCAGAAAAAGACGAGCTTCTGTTATCAGTTGTACAGGGTTGCCCTAGAGAGGACAGTCAGATCAGGACACAGTGGACCAGGACTGGTGTGCCACCTCACCCCACCGTTCCCTGGCAGGAGCTGTTCTCACAGGCTGGGGAGAGGACTGGCCCTGGAGCTCTGGTCTCCTGCTGGCCGGAGCTGACACAGCCCTGGTCTCCCCATCCATGAAGAGCTGGACCAGCTTGAGGTACATGTCAACAGCAACACGCAGAAAGGCCTCTTCCCCAATGATGGCGTCGTCTTTGAAATGGGAGAGAAGACTAGAGATAAAGAGAACATGACACAGACTAAGTAGGTTAGTGCAGAGAGTGTATCCACCCACCCATCTGTGGCACCAAGCTGCAGGCAAGTGACCCTATCTGGTGGGAGTCTAGGGTGCCTGGGGAAATGCTGCTCCCTCTGACCACACCAGGCCCCCGGGACCAGCCCAGCAGGGTGGTTACCTGTAGAAGGCAAGAGGCAGCAGCTTGGTATGCTGGTCTGGGGCCAGGCGGAGGAGAAGGTGCCCTAGCCCCGCATCTGCAATGCCAAGGGGCCTCAGTCAGCTCTGGGGATGCCTTGGGGACAGAGCTGTCGTGCACTCTGGGAGTGTGTCTGGATGCAGGGACAACATGAGGTTGTGTGGCCACGCTGAGGACTCCCTTCCCCTGGGTCTGGGAAGATGGGCAGACACCACGCGGGGTGATGTCTGCAGGCAGGAGAGCAGACACCCTACACGTGGTAGCCGTGGTCTGATAAGTCCTCTGTTGTCACAGTTGAACCAGTTGTAAATTTAGCAAGAAAACAGCTTGGAAAGGGAGCCCCAAGAAGGGCTTATTCGTAACCATTGGCTGCTTCTGAAGAAATGACACGGCTGTCACAAACCAGACAGTGGCCAGCTTACCCGTCTCCGTCAATTGGAAGAGCACCAGCCAATCCACCCTCCGCCTCTGCAAACACTCAAGGACTTCGGCACAGGTGTTCACAGCCTTCGGGGGGTCAATTGTGTCCTGTGACCAGAGAAGAGCCCCAGGAAGGGCTGAGCATGGCCCCCCCGTGTGGGCTCACGAAAGCACTGCTACACTCATGGGAACACGAGGTGAGGGGCGGGGAGGGGACTGGACTTTTTGCTCAGTTGTAAGTTGGTGACAACCTATAGAAAGTGTCACACTGGAGATGCCCAGAGATCCGGGGTGTACTGTCTGACCCATGGGGAAAGAGGGTTCCTCAGCTGGAAGGTCACTTACGTTTGGGATCAGATGTGACGAGAGCAGGTCCATCAGGGAAAAGAAAAAGAGGGGAACCAGTAGCTGCAGATGACAACAGGTATGGTTAGGCACGCAGGTCACAGGTGTCCCAGCCCTGGCAAAGCAGACCTGCTCCTCCAGGTGGGCTAGTCTTGGAGCTTCTTGAAAACTACTGCTGATTCAGTGTAACACCAGGTGTGGCAGGGGACACTGACCTGGCAGCAAGCCAGACCCTTGAGGACCAGGCCCCCTGGCTGGAGGCTGGTTCTGAAGCCACTAAATTGTTTCTAGCCAAAGTACAAGACCTTTAGAAAACGTAGGGTATTTAAACGCCTACGTGAGATCTGTAGCAGAGCCACGTGATCTTGTCATCACGTGGCTCTGCTACAGATCTCAGGGTGGCACATGAATCGAGAGTCGCCTGGTGCTGTGTTGGCCTATGTTGGCTGCTCACCCCCAGCTTGCCTGACACTGGTTCCAATTTCCAGCCTCCCATTCCTCTCTAGAGGAGCCAGGGCTTTCCATGCACACGGCACGGCACTCGCAGCCTAGGTGGTTGCTGCTGCTGGGGTCAATGGGCAGTGAGGCTCGAGGGCCCAGCAACCAAGGAGCACAAGGCCAGGGTCTGAAAATCCCTGCACAGAACGTGGAGCCACCCGCATGGTCCTGTCATGCTGCCTTGTGCTGTGCACTCACAACAGACAGCCCGCAGGGCTGTGGCAAGGAAAGAATCGAGCCCCACAGAAGCACCTGAGTCATAATACTGCACGTTGGCTAGTTTCATTCCCAAACAAAGGGATGGAAACCTCAAGATTTTCCCTGGAAAAGCCTCATCCACTAGGCAAACCCTGGGAAATGCCCTGATTAAAAACGAGCCCCGCCTTGCCTCCTCTCTCGCGCAGTCCAGCTCCAGCCATCTGGCACCTTCTGTCTTGACTTTTTTCACTGCAAAGTGCAACGCTGCAGCTGAGACCCAGGCAGGGTTGGGTGCAGGGGAAGTCGAGCCACGGGCCAGAAAGCTGGGACAGAGAGATGTGTCATCGCTGCAGCACAGAAACAGCTTTCCAGGGAGGATACAGAGGAGCTCAGGTCCTCATATGCAGAACCTGGGTTTTGCATGAGGCCTTGGCAGAGCAGGATGCCAGCCCCACGTGGAAGCATACCAAGGGGGACAGAGCCCGTGCACCAAACCCAATGCCTGAGCCTTGAAGGAAGAGTCCACAAGAACACTGGGAACTCAATGCCCTCTGTCCTCCAAGGAGTACTGGGTCTGGCCAAAGGGATCCAGCTCTATCTCTGGTGGAGTTAGGGTCAGTAGGAGAGTCTCCTTTATCCAGGGGACCTTTACCCCTGAGCTATGTCCACAGCCTTTTAGTTCTTTTTAGACAAAGTCGTGCCAAGTTGCTGAGGCTGGACTTGAACTTGGGATTCTCCTCTCAGCCTCCTGCATCACTGGGATTACAGGCTGTGCCACCACACCTGGCAATGAGCCCTGCTTTGTATGTGCTGAGGTTTCAGGCACCCCTGGCGCTGAAGGTATCCAGACGCATCAGGAAATCAAAACTAGTCACCAAGGACCGTAAAGGCTTCTACCCTTTGGGTACTGGGACCAGTGTGTCCTTGGAGGTCCTCAAGAACTGTCCTCAGGAGGTGGACTGCCCTGACTGCCACAGGTCTGACTGAGCTGCTGGGTGGAGAACTGAGCATCAGCACCCTAATACACCTGATGCTGGCAGTCTGGGGCCAGTGTTAGATGTGAGCAGGAGATGGGGCCGGGATGGGAAAGCTGAGTTGGAATGAGACCTGCTGAAACCTGTCCCATGAACACTCCTGACCTGCCCGGCTGCTCCAACTGGAGGCTATTAGCCTGGTTCTCGCCACCCCTTTCCAAGGGACCCTAGCAACTGCAACCCAGGATGTCCATGGTCACAACCCTGCCTCGTCCTGCTGCCAATGCCTACTTGCTGGCAAACTGCTGGGCTTCCTGCAGCCTCTGCAGCTCAAGAGGCAGTGGGCCCTGGAAGCGTTTTCTCCACCGACTTTGCAGTACAGGCTCTAGGCTTGACCACCAGGCCTGAATGGGAAGAGAGCAGGAGGAAACAGGTCAGGGCAGCTCTGCTTGGCCCCACCTCCAGGACCAGAACACCTGTATGAGGCGCTGCGCTGTCCCACAGCCAGCTCCCCAGAGCCCTCGCTGCTGCTTGGCTGGGGCTTCCCAGGTGCTCCCTGTGCTCACCCTGTGGCTCACGTTGTATAGCTTCAGGCAGCACCTTATTTACCTTGCTGTGTTCAGAGCAATCCCACGAGGCACCTGTACTCGAGGGCAGGACAGAGAATGCCCTGCCTCTGCCCCATGACACCCTGCAAGAGCTGGTGCCTCACAGAGAAGGAAGCTGCCAGTGTGGCACAGCTACCCCCTGCCCTGAAGTGCAGGTCAGTTGTAGCCCCAGCAGGCAACAGAGGCGGCCTGTGCAGCCCACAGAGCACACAGAAAGCTGCAACTGAGCCACAATGACCAAGATGGAGACAGACACAGAAGGCAAGGAGCAGCAGTGAGGAGCCCTGATGGGCAGAGCCCCACACTCCAAGCAGCCAGTCCTACCAGCGCAGAGGTCAGAAGGATGGGGCATTTGGTCTGGCACCCAGTCAGAGTCAGGTTGGCCGTCAGCAAGGGGTCGTGGCTGTGTGCACAAGCATTCAGGAGCCCCTGCAGCAGAGAACACAGCAGAGGCTCACCCAGGCACCCTTGTGAGCCCAGTTCCTAAAGGTCACCACCCCACAGGAGATCTGTTCCCAGGGACCCTGAGAAGGTCACATGGGAGGTGCTAGGGGAGACGAGTTACCCTGAAGAAATGGATGGTGATGTCGTGGGTCAAGGCGCCTCCCTGGGAGGAGAAGTTTCTCTGTAAAACAGTTCAGCAGGCCAGTGGCAGAGAGAGGGGCAAGACCAGAGTGCAGTGTGCTATGGGGTTTAGCTATGAAGCCACACTAGGGACAACTGGCCATCAGCCACAGAAGGCTGCCCTAGTGTGCTGCCAGAACCTCCCCAGCTTAGGCCCCTCAAGACTGCCCGCCTGCTCTGGCCCAGACACATGGGCTCCAGGTGGAACTGGGAGCTGTGGCTCTGACTCTAGCTGAGAGTGACAACGCTATCGTTTCACTTCTCTGCTGACCACACACTATTCTCTGTGCAATTGTCCACTTCCATGGGCTGCTGGGGATAGAACCTAGGGTCTGGCACATGCTAGGCAAGTGCCCTACCATTGAGCGACATCTCTAGCCCTTTTTATTTCATTCTGAGTCAAGGTCTTGCTGAATTGCTCCAGCTGACCCAGAGCATGTGACCCTCCTGCCTCTACCTCCACATCACTGGGATGACAGCTGTGCCACAGTCTCTAAAGCTGCCACCGCTCTGCTTTCCTGGTCACCTGCCGTTCTGCACAACTGGAAGGGAACCTAAG